TTCCTTGGCTGGAAACTTCCTCGCCTTAGGTGGAAGGGACCATCTGACTTACTACTGTACTTCATGACTCTCCCAGGCACCAGGAGTCCTGTCTTCTCTGGACATTCACTCTATTTTGAGCTTAATGGAAGTAGAGCTGGTGAGTTCAGATTTATTAAGGGGCTAGAATGCTTATTGAAGACATAAAGCTTTCGGGATATTTTGAATCAGATTGGCTTCCCTGATAGTTCAGCTGGTAAAGAATCCACCTGCAATATAGACCCTGGTTTGATTCCTGGGTTGGGAATATCCACTGGAGAAGGGATAGGCTACCCAGTCTAATATTATTGGACTTCCCTTGTGGCTCAGCTGGTAAAGAATCCTCCTGCAATGCGGGAGACCTGGGTTCAATCCCTGGGTTGGGAAGATCTCCTGGAGAAGGGAACAGCTACCCACTCCAATATTCTGGCCTGGAGAATTCCATGGACTGCACAGTCGATGGGATCGCAGAGTCAGACATGACTGAGCGACTTTCACTTTCAGTGAATCAGATTATGCTGATACCAACTTTGGAGAAACTGCTGACTCTGAAATAACAAAACGAGTAAGAACACATTTTAAAAATCCCACTCAAGCCTTCCCTGGTGGCTCAGAGGTGAAGAACCCACCTGCCCATGCAGGAGACACAGGTTGGACCCCTGGTCCGGGAAGCGTGTGCTCCAACTACGGAACCTGTGCCCTAGAGCGTGGGAACGGAGACTGCGGAGCACACGTGCTGCAACTACCGAGGCCTGCACGCCACAGAGCCCAAGCCCTGCAACAAGCCACCAAGATGAGAAGCCTGCCCACACACTGCAGCAAGAGTCATCCCTGGGCACTGTATAGAGCAAAGCCCATGCAGCAGTGAAGACCCAGCACAGCCAAAAAAAAATCCCTCTCATCACTCTGACCTAACAACTACGGAAATCTGTCTGCATCTTAATCATATCTATACAAACGGGTTAAGAACAGGGTATGTAAGAAAGCTAGTAACTAGTGCCCTCTAAAGCTCTCTCTGAAGAAGTCTAAAGAGAAGAGTGCAGGTTCTCCTTCACAGGTTATCAGTTATAATGATCCATATGACTGGGAAATCCGCCTGCAATGCAGGAGCCGCAGGAGACTCAGGTTTGACCCCGGGGTCAGGAAGATCTCCTGGAGGAGGGCATAGTGATCCACTTCAGCATTCTTGTCTGGAGAACCCCATGGACAGAGGAGCCTGATGGGCTACAGTTCATGGGTCTCAAAGAGTCAGACACGACTTAAGTGACTAAACAGCAACAAATGACTGGGAAGGTGGCATACCATCCACAGGGCCTCAGGGTCATAAGAAGAGCCGAAGAGCACAGCAAAGCTTCCCACTGTCTCTGTGGTTCCACGCTTCTTCACCTGGTCTTTAGTTACTCCAGCTGCATCAACCCTCGTGATGGCCCGCTGGTCCAGCACCTTACTCACTCTTTCTTCCCTTATGTTTGACAGCGCTTCTCATCGTCTGAAGAGTGTACCTTTAGTTGAAGATGTGCGTATTTGAAAGGTGGAAAGACAACTCTTTACATACATCTGCTAATTCAGGAAGCCCAAATAATTTGAAAATAGTCCTCGATAGTCATCAATCAAGTACTTAATCAAGTACTGAGACGACACCAAGGGGTCGGGTAAGCTCCAGCCCGCAGGCCCGGGCCTGTTTCTGTAAACAGTTATCCGGGACCACAGCTCCGTACGCTTGTTTACAGACTGTCCCCGGCTGCCTTCCAGGTGCAACAGCAGAGCAGCTGTAACGGACACCGTGAGGTCTGCAAAGCGTAAAACACTCACCATTTGGAGCTTTACCGAAAAAAGTCTGCCAGCCTCTGTACCACACCAGAGTATCCCAATCTGAGAAAATATATATGTATATTACACTACTGGGTGTGTGTGTGTGTGTTCAGTCATGTCCAACTCTTTTGAGGCTCCATAGACGGTAGCCCGACAGGCTCTTCTTGTCCATGGAATTTTCCAGGGAAGAATTCTGGAGCAGGTTGCCATTTCCTCCTCCAGGGGATCTTTCCAACCCAGGGATCAAACTCGTATCTCTTGCATCTCCTGCACTGGCAGGTGATATGTTCACCCACACTGGATTGTTCTCAGGAAAATCATCCAAAAAACGTTATGAGAAGCTTTCCCTTTGTCATCCCTTTAAAACATCTTACATCCCCAGTACCACACTCAAGCCACACCAAGTATAAAGGGTTACAAATATTCAGATTTTATTATAAATAAAATACTGTTCTTTTTAACATAAAAAATGCCAAGTGTTGCATTTTTTTTTTTACCACCCTGGAGAGCAAGACTGTAGAGGTTAAGGCAAACAGCTCAAGTGAAGGCACATGAAAAAGGGCCACAGTTGGAATTTAAAGGGAAACTTCCAGGGAACAGCTGTGTATGTTCCCTGTGACACCCCGCATTCTGCAGCAGCCACCCTGTCAGTTTCATTACATATAATACAGATAACTGGAACTATACAATAATGGCTATATTGCAGGAGTGTAATGAAGGTATCCTTTTATAAAGAACTTTTATTTAAAAAATAAAATTCTGTTTAAAAATATACCACATAGATGGAAAAGGAGAAAAGAATCAACCAATCTCCCCAATTTCACTGTGGCCTAAGACTTACTGTAATGAATCTGACCCACAGGATAGGTGGGAGAACCACCTTCGTAGTCTATCTTCAGTCCTTTTCCTGCAACCTTGACCAAAATGTCTACTGGGATGTGACCACATAACAAGAGGAACTAGCTAGGAAACACTGATGTGAACACTTAGCAAGAAAGAGTCATGCCTCCTGTGATGGGAGAAGAGGCCTGAGAGGAGGAATAGAGTGATGCCAGGTCAAGACACTGCTAAGTTAACTCTGGGATGCAAGGAGAAGAATGAGGACAGACCACCTCTCCCACTCTACCTATCCATAGCATGATCCCTGATGCCTTACAAGTGCTCAGTAATTATGCACCTCTCTATCAAAATAATCCATCCAGTCCAAAAACAACTGCCAGAAAAGATATTTCCAGCTCATCCCTGCCTAAGCTCACACTGAGGGTGAAGATGGCCTTCAGCACGTTTTCCCAATTCCAGCATTCCCTGTCAACCTGGTGTTCCTGCTCTGGGGCAGGTGTTAAGAACACTATGCTGTGGTTGAGGACCACCAGGACCGCAGTGGAAGAGGGTTCCAGGTACCTCTTTCTCGTGGCTGTGTGTGGAGGAAAGCAGGTGGATGTGAATGTCAGAGAACAGACACGCTGCAAACACAAGGCAAAAGCAGACCAATGGGGAGCAAATCCAATCCAAAGAACGAGAGATGGAAGAGGAGGAGGTATACGGACGCACTGTGCCGGTGAAGAGGAAAAATGAAGTGAAGAAGTGAACGGACAGTGTCATTCCAGAAACAGGACAAGGGTATTTACATAAACTTCTTACTCTAAAATCATGATAAACAAACAAAAAAAAACATTCACACAAAAATATAAATTTGAAATAATTAATAGCACCAGTGTGTCAGATAATAGTTTCTTTCCCCCGCTACGCAAAGTACAAAGTTGCATAGTGTTAAAGGCTATATATGAATCTTGAAGGCGGGCTGGCAGGAGGAGGAAGGGGTTTGTGGCAGAGAATCATCACGCTGTGATCTTGGAAGAAAATCACAGAGCTGAGGATCAGAAGTTGAGAAGCCCATTAGGAAACTCCACGTAAGGGCCTTCCGTCTACACTTGGAGGGAAGGTCTAGAGGTGGTGTAGATCACAAAGTGCAGGAACTAGATGGTGTTGGCAGCTGCATGAAGTACTGAGTGCAAGTATCTGCCACCAGGATTTGGCAAACAATGTGTTTTGAGGGATTCTACGTGATGGGAACATCAGAAAAAAACTGAAACTGAAAAAAAGGGTCTAATATTTCATCTCTCCCCAATGGAAGAAAAATGGACACGTGGGATCCTGACAATGCAAGTCACATCTAAGTTCTATCCCTTTGCTAGAAAAGACTAGGACAAGGAGGCTTTTGCTTTGTTTGTCAAGATCTTAAGGACCAACCACCATCCTCTGCCAGGTAACAACACTAGTTCCAAAACTAATATACTAAAAAAAAAAGCTCTAAGAATTAGTTTGATTTTGAAAAAAAAAAAAAACTTTAGTGGTTATCATATCCCTATATCTTCTGTATAAATTCCACTTTTAGGAATAGAAGGCGTCTGTTGGTGAGTGCAAGCTGCCCGTTGCAGATTTAAAGTATCAGCTGCCCAAAGATCTGAAAAAAGTTTATCTTCCTAGTCAATTATTAACATTTGAGAAAATGTTCGGCCTACTTCTGCAGTCTCATATTCTCCTGGAGACTGTCATAAATCATTGCATCCTTACCCGTGGATGGCTCAGTGTCCTAAACTCAAATAGCTAAAACAACTGATGATGGCTCTCGACATTCTGAATGACCAATACCTTTGGCACAGGAGGTGTATCTCCTTTTTGCTTAAAAGGAGGAGGGGCGGGAGATGTAGATGCATTTTCTTTGCCTATAGACTGGATATACTGGCCATCACAATGCTACTGTTAGTAGCCAAACTTTTCCTTCATAAAAACAAGAGTACTGAGACTGAGGAGGTTCTGCTGGCATCAGTGAGAAAGGGAGGGCTACTTGCTCAGCCCTGGCATACAATGGTTCCCACGAAGTGTTTAGGCCACTGTACAGCAAGGCAGGATGCCATGTCCTTATGCGACTCGGAAGGGACAGGTGGGTCTGAGGGAGTGCCGTTAAGTGGAAGAGAGACTTTATTAGATAGAACCCTTTGTTCCTGATTCACGATGTTTAATTTGCTTCTCTTTAAAACTTTGTGACTTTTCCTGGTTCAATAGGACAGTGGTGGAGAGCAGCAGAGAGTGGGGGGCAGGGGTCTGAAAAATGCAATCGTCGTGTGAAGGCACTCTGTGGCCTCACAGTGGCTCCCTACGGGGAGATGCTAGGGCTTCTCAATGGACGGGGTGTTGAAGCAGCCGGAGGGTAAGGTCTTCCGGATGTCCTCCAGGTTTCGGATGTCCTTCAGGATGTCCTCGATGTCTCGGTTATAGTCCAGGATGGCAGCCTCCTGCTTCCTGGCTTCGTTCTCCAGGTTGGACACCTTCCTGTCGAGATCACTGACTTTCATTTCCTCTTTGGCTTTGTTCAGGGTGCCTTCAATCTCATTTAACTTGTTCAGGTCCACTGTGTCCAGCTGCCCTACAGAGTCAGAAGAGAGACGCATTTAGTACAATTATGACATCACTCCGCAAGTACTGCCCCCCCGCCCAAACCCGCCAGCCTCTTTATAAAGGAAGACCAGCAGCTGCCATTATACAAAAGCGGCCTGAAAACTAGACACCTAACTAATGAGAACATACTGGACAGCAGAGAGAACTCTACTTAATGCACTGCGGTGGCCTCGATGGGAAGGAAGTCCAGGAGGGTGGGGATGTATGTATATGTATGGCTGATTCAGTGTGCTGTGCAGCAGACGCTAACACAACGTTGGACAACAACTATACTCCAGTAAAAGTCAATTAAAAAAGGGAGGGGGCACTAACAATGCAAACCAAGTACAAACCCTGACCTAACCCAGCAGGGATGGGTCAGAACATATAATGAATATTGGGGCTGGATTTTTTTTTTTTCTCAGAATATGGTTTCTGTGAAATGTTTTCTGAATATATAGCTACTATGTCCTAGCCCTTACGCCTTACTTGTGGTTTGAAGGTGATCTAGTAACGTTTAATCCCTTTTTCTTTTTCAAGTTTATATATGTAATCTTTTTGTCTTTTTGGTGTCCTTTAAAAAACATAAAAATCTTTAGGCTAGAACTCTAAGCCCTCAGCTCTTCGATACCAGGGAGACTGGGTTGCTTTGGGGGAGTGTTACCCTGCTCCTAGAGTTAGACTCTATTATAGAAACCCTCCTGTGGAGAATGGCCAGGGTTGAAAGGCTGAAATAATTTTAGCAAAGCTTTGCTTTAAAATTAGCACGAAAAAGAGGTCCCTTTGAAAGGAACTGTTTCTTTTTTTTTTTTTAGGAACTATTTCTATATAAACGAAAGCAGACAGCCAGCTGCGGTACTTTATGTATACTATACTTGATTAAATTCTCACAAGACCATGTGACATCAATGATTCTCAGATGTTAAGTAATTTGCCCAAATTTGCACGGCTTACAGGCAACAAAGCAATGATTCCAACCCAAGTCTGACTAACTTTAAAAGCCAACCTTTTCTGCCACAAAAGCTACCTCTTCTAGCTTACTTTCATTTTAAAATCCATCTGCTGGCACATAATTTATTATTCTTCAAAATTAAGACAGATAAAAATATCACACACACACCCCACAAAACAAAACACTGGCCAAAACCAAACTTTAGAGACTAACACGTTGAAACAGGATGCCTTGCTACCCAGCTGGACTAGTTAAGAGTATCGTGTGCGTGCTACGTTGCTTCAGTCGTGCCCGACTCTGCAATCCTGTGGACTGTAGCCTGCCAGGCTCCTCTGCCAAGCAAGAATACTGGAGTGGGTTGCCATGCCCTCCCCTCCAGAGGATCTTCCCAACCCAGGAACCTGGGTCTGCTACCTGGCAGGCGGATTCTTTACTGCTAGTGCCACCTGGAAAGCCCAATGGTTAGAGAAATTACAGCTTTATAATGCAGACTGGTGACAAAAGTATGTCTATCCTATAATGTGGCCTGCTCCCTATCAAACTGGATTAAAGGAAAATTTCAATATGCTTGTATTTCCTCCAAAACAAAAGCCTTTTCTCTCATTTTGCATAAAAACCATCAGCTCATCAGATTATTCTTTAAAGTGCTCTTTTATTCTATCACTGAAATCCTTCATGTCAAACTCTTTGAAGACACTCTGCCAGCAGGATGAGCTAAGAATGATCACTGCTCAACTATATTATAAACCTTGACCATAAAAGAGCCAGGCTAGCTGACAGCAAACCTTTAAAATTTTATTAAGTCCTCGGATCACGGTCAGATCCCAATACTGAGGTCAGAGTCCATGGACGGACCTAGTGAGTACATGCTGAATTAATACAACTTAAAAGTCATGATTCAGTTTATACAATCTTTGCACTGTAATATCTACTTTTGAGTCAACTATCTCGGATCCCAAGAACAGTACCAAGAATTCAAAGACTGCCTACAATGACTGCAGTTACTTACCAAGCTGCTCCAGGAGGTCATTAATAAGGTTGAGGAGGTTGGTAACAGAGTTTTTGGCTTTTCTAGCATTGATCTCGGCTTCCTGAGCAGCCTGTGAAGCCTGTACACCAAAAAAGGATAAATAATAAATGATACATTTTCATCTTCTTGAAATATCTTTTCCAAATGAGCCAACAAATCCAATTTTCAGATGGTTTCCCTTCTTTTAACTCATGAAACTATAATCTCTCACTGTAGGAATTTTTTGGGTCATATCTTCATGTTGAGGATGTTGCTATTTTTAATTCACATGATAAGTCATAAAGAGGCAGTCATATGCCTACACTGTATTTGTATTTCAAAGATCAATGTTATTATTTCCTTTTGTCATTTTCTTACTCAAGAAATACATGATGGTGTATTCAAAAGAAAACCCATCAAGCAGAAACAAGTTACTTAAAAAATATTTTTTTGGTTCTCTGTTTCTCCTTTTTTAAAAATTTAACTAAATTTATTTATTTATTTTTCGGCCACATCATGTAGCATGTGGGATAGATCCCCAACCAGGGACTGAACCCATGACCCCTGAAGTGGAAGCATGGAGTCTTGACCACTGGATCACCAAGAAAGTCCCTACAAGTTACTTTTTAAGGATGAATAAAAAAACTATTAATATATATTAGAACTAAAACATGTCCTCCAAGACTTGATTATCAGAAATAGCCTATTCTCAGCAAATTTTCATAATTATGTGATATTCTTCTAAAATTCCCTCTCCCCCTGTAATCAGACACATACGTACACATACAAACAGACAATACAATTTACATTAAAAAAAATCAACCAAAGGTAAATCTATTTGGGAAAATTCCATGAAACCTGAACAAATATGCTTCTGCATGAGTCACAGGAAATGGCAATGGAAGAGGAAGTGTCTAAGGATCAGAAAACAGATGCTCTCACAAATAAATCTGGTCAGGATATACACCAGTAACTTTGAGCTTCCCACCACAGAACTGTTTTTCCTAGTTTTTTTCTGGGTCAACAGAAATACAAAACTTTTGGATAGAGAAACAACGTGAAAATTTTAAAAAGAAAAAGAAAGCAAGAGGAAAAAACCTTCACAAATAAATGATTAATCTCTGTTCAAATCACAGCCGCTACCACTGCGTCTTCCCAGGCAGTCTGCAAATATCCTAGCAGAGATGCTGGCCCTTGGACTGCAAGTGATGGCATTTATCCCGCTGTCTGCAGCCCCCTCTTCTAGGAACAACTGTGAGCTTTCACCCTTTCCCTTAAAAAAACAGGTTACAGACTCCAATAATACTGATGCAATTCTGGCCTTTCAGGCTATTTAATTATAAATGGGATAGTACATATGAGGGTGCCCTGTGCTCCTTATAAATTATTTACCAAAAGGAATAAAAGATATATCTTTTTTCTTCTTTGAGGGTATGAAGATATAGAGAATATATATCTTTTCCCTTCTTTCAACAAGCTCTAAATCTCATGCTTCTATGACTGCATTAAAAAAAAAAAAATCCAGAGACCCTCAGCACATATGAAAAACACATTTTTACTATGTGGGAATTTTCACTTGAGACATGCCTTGCTATAGAAAATTCAGGTAATCCAAAACAAAAATCAAAAAATGCATAATAAAATAAGGTATCTGCAGAGGGATACTTCTGTTATCACTTCCCTAAGGACTTCTTCACTAAATTAACAAGCTTCATAGTTCTTCTTTCTATTCCAAGGTGAAAGTGATCTACCATGATTATTTATACAGTCGCTCAGTCAGGTCCAACTCTTTGTGACCTCATGGACTATAAAGTCCATGGAATTCTCCAGGCCAGAATACTGGAGTGTGTAGCCTTTCCTTTCTCCAGGGGATCTTCCCAACCCAGGGATTGAACTCAGGTCTCCTGCATAGAGGGCGGATTCTTTACCAGCTGAGCCACAAGGGAAGCCCAAGAATACTGGAGTGGGTAGCCTGTCCCTTCTCCAGCGGATCTTCCTGACCCAGGAATTGACCTGGGGTCTCTGCATTGCAGGTGGATTCTTTACCAGCTGAGCTATGAGGGAAGCCCACACAAAGGAGTTCATGTCTGTCATTACTGTGATTATAATCAGATTGAACTGGAAAGAAATTATTTCCATTGTGACTCCACTAGTATTTCAAAAGCAAAATATTGCATAAAACAGAAAAATGGACCCCAGTCCTTCGGGGGACCATGCATTCACAAGTCAATTTTGTTACAAACAGTTATGTATACACATCATCACAATAAATGAAAAATTAAATTGGATGTAAGTTTGGTATGCTGTGTCATCTTCAAAACTGTCCAAGAAACTGGTCTTTGCTAAAGGCAAGTTGCTGGGAGACTAAGAGGAGGAAGGAAATTAACTTTTCATTGCATTCCTTTTTTTCCCCTTTCTGACTATATCCCATTTATGAATTACCCATTCAAAAATATAAATACATACTTTCAAATGTCCTAAAACCTCAAATGTGTAAAACAATGTTTTGCTTTTAATTGAGAGTAGCTTTGGGAAGGAACTCTTGTGCAACCATCTGGCAGAAGATCCAAATTCTTTGTCTTCTATGTAAGTTACTAACCCAATTCTTGACCAGGAAACACAATTGAAAACAGAAGTCAACAGGAGAGAGACTCCTCAACAAGTCAGGAACCTTTCATCACTAAACACCCTTCACTTTCTACTCGTTACCAAAAATTCCAAAATCACTTACCATCCCTGCCATCATCATGTCCTGGTCAGCATCCTCTTGTTTTTTCTTCAGCTCTTTTTCTGCTTCCTGTAGTTGTTTCAACATATTATTCACCTCGTTATCCAGATCTGTAACTTCTGCAAAAGTCCTTTCAGCTTCTGCCTTGGTGCTGGTAGCGTTCTAGACACAAAATAAACAATTGCTGATGAAAAAATGTTTTCCTTTCTCTAAAGTATTCTGCCACTCAAAACTAGGATCCAGAAACTAGGCTCTAAACTAGGACCCAGAAACAACAGGGCAATAATTTGCCCTATAATTTGTACTGTAAGTTGAATTATGTTGTCATTTATTTGGGCTACAAATAACAGTAATGAAAAAAATAACATTACCACCTAACATAATAACATTTTACAAAGCATAGCTATTTGTATCCTTTTATTTAATCCAGTTAATAAAAATTCCTGTTTTACTGTTGCCATTTTTAGTTGGGGTCACATCACGGCAACATTTAACTGGTGTGTACTTTCCACCGCATCACACTGATTAGACTCTTTCACATGGATAATCTTCTATTCAAAGCTAGTCTCATTCTAGTTGGCAGTTCATTATCATGTATAAAAAGTCCATAATCCTGAAATATATCTGCTCTAAATAAACTAAAAATGTATGTGATTTTCAAACACATAAGTTTACAATCAGCTCCAATCTCTCCTTTAAATGAAACAAACTGATCTTTAAGTAGGAGAAAGCCAGCTTAAAGAAGTTATTAAGATGCATAGAAAGAATCCTGGCATGGGCAGCTATGAAAATTCTGAATAGGTGGGGCTTAGGTATGGCAATATGTTTGTTTGAAAGGGGGGCGTGAAAAACCGTATAGACTTGACATTCTATATAAGACAGAAAAAATAAACTATCCATGGCAGGGAACTGTGTTTATTTAGAAACAGTCTGATTTTTTTTTGCGGGAGGGGACTCTCTGGGTCCCTGAAGCCAACCCCCTCCTCACAACTCAGACCCCTGCCACTGAGACATAGAAGAGATTAGAGTAAAGGACCCTTTCTTTCTTTGGTTGGATCACACAGCATGTGGGATCGAGTTTCCTGACCAGGGATTGAACCTGCACCCCCTCTGCTCGAAGCATGGAGTCTTAACCACTGGACCGCCAACAAGTCCCAAGAGACCCTTGCAATAACTCTCCCCTCTAATCACCATGGTTACCTGCTCTAATGCTTGCTTTAAAAAAGAAAAAAGGGAAAAAGGAATGACAAAGATGGAGTAATGTAACTTTACTTGAGTCAAGGAAAAAATGTGTAAGACCTTTCGGTGGCGGGGGCGCAGGGGGTGGGGGTGTCTGGAAAGAGCCTGGAAAATGACTAGAGAATAGATAACATGTGAGCAAAGGCCTGGTTTCGGACAGGAGGGGCGTGCACACCTTCTGGACAGCGCTGGCGATCCTCTCCGCCTCGTGGGCCTTGTTCCTGGCCTCGGTGGCATCTGCGGCAGCATTGCCCAGCGCCTGCTGAGCTTCCCTGGTCTTTTCATTGGCTTCAATTATGGTCCGGTTGATGGCAGGGATTCTCCTTAGGGCCTCCTCTGCAGCCGTCTTGTTATCATTCACTCTCCTATCAAAATCTAAAACAGGTGCAAGGAATGCATTTGAACTAAACTCTCAACAAGCCAAAAGGGAAACTTTCAGGGAGCTGTCACAAGACTTTGTTTTATGAACAATGGAAGTCAGGGGAAAAGAATGAAAACAACATGGACTGAAATCTTAGGAGAACAAAGCTCATAGCTCTATATGGAAGATTCATGGGAATGAACACCTGCTTCTGCAAGGCAAATTCTCACTTGAAGCATTTATTTTCATGCAGAACCGAGGATGCTATCACCTCCACCTCAACCAATATTGAAAGATGCAGCTTATTCTGTGTTTGCTATGTGTAAGGTACTGAGTTGAGAGCTTCATGAATTTCTGTAACTGCATCATTGGTATACATTAGAAAACTGAGGACTAAAAAGGTAGATCATTTTTTCAAGGATTCACAGTAACAGTAAGAGGTAGATCAGGGATTCTAACTCAAACCCACTGACACAGAGCCCAAACATTCAACCATTATCCTGTAAAGCTTCTGTATTTACAGAACTTATATTTATCAAAGAGGCAAGTTCAAGGCTATACAATGAATTGAGTGTAGTTGTTTTTTATATTGGGTAAAGAAAGAAAACAAAGACTGAGATGCAATTGGCAGAGAAAATTAAAGATACTCTCAATTTACCAATACTAAGCAGATAAATAGGTGTATGTTGGTTATAAGAAATATACTTTTTTTTTGGTTTTCATACCATGGGTAAAATGACATGAGCTCTGGGATTTTTCTTTGAAATACTTGACACAAAAAAGGCAGGGAAGGTGTTGGGGGATAAAGTAAGTGCAGTAAAAATCTTAACTGTTCAATCTGAATGACAGGATTTATTATACTATTATCTCTCATACTTATGTGGTCAGAAAATCTCACAGTAAAAATCTTTTACAAAAGAAAGAAAACCAGCCTAACGGAGGACATTTACCCTGTGACCTCACCCTCTCATACCTTTCAGGTTGTTGAGAATGTCATTGGCTTCTTGTAAGGTGTTTCGTCCCTTTTTGGCAGCTTCTTCCGCAAGAGCCTTGGCAGCATCAGCTCGGGCGAGGAGTTGGTCGGCAGTCTGCAAACACATGGCAGGTCAGAGGACAAAGCCTCCCAGGTAAAGCCCTTCTCTCCCCTAACAGACCAGGCACCTCCAGGCCACCCCACTCTGACACCAGCCAGCATACAGCAGGTTAGGCCAGGGCATCGGCATAGCACCCTCCTCTGATTTCTTGTGTATTTTGTTGCTTCTGCGATTTGTGGTGACGGTTCAGACACAGCTTACAGTCAGACAATTTCAATTTTTGCCTCACAAAATGAAGCAATCTGCAAAGCAAACCAACCTGCTGTTCAGTCTTTCCTTTCTCCAGAAGGTTCTTTACTTCAAACTCTTTGCCTCTCATGTCCTCTCTGAGATCCTCGTAATCTTTCAACTTCTGATCAATCAGACGGTCCAGATCTTCAGCTTCCTTCTTGATTTTATTTGCCTCATTCTATGAAAAGCAAGTAAGATCACATATGTTAGAAAAAAACAACCTAAACTGCCCAAAAGATAGCCTCAGTAATTCTGTAATATTTAGTAGATAGTTTTGAAAAGAATAGCACAGGGCAAGATTTTATGGACTTTTTTAAGAGAAAAAAAAAAAAGGTATATCCTACCTATACACAGTGAAATGCACAGTACTTAGTTTAATGAGTTTTGACAAATATATTCACCTGTGTAACCAAACCCCAATCAAGATACACAGTATTTCCACCCAGGACATGCCCTTGTGTCTCTTTCCAGTCCATTTCCCCACCCACCTCGTCCAACAATGTGGCTGTCGCTGGTCTGTTTTTTAAATCATCATAGATTAGTTTTGCCTATTGTCAAATTCCATATATATGAAATCATAAGTATGTACAAACCTAAACAGCATATTAAAAAGCAGAGACATTACTTTGCCAACAAAGGTCCATATAGTCAAAGCTATGGTTTCTTCAGTAGTCATGTAGGGATGTGAAAATTGGACCATAAAGGCGGCTGAGAGCCAAAGAATCGATGCTTTTGAGCTGTGGTGCTGGAGGAGACTCTTGAGAGTCCCTCGGACTGCAAGGAGATTAAAACAGTTAATCCTAAAGAAAATCAATCCTGAATATTCACTGGAAGGACTGATGATGAAGCTGAAGCTCCAATACTTTGGTCACCTGATGCGAAGAACCAATTCATTAGAAAAGACCCTGATACTGGGAAAGACTGAGAGCAGGAGAAGGGGATGACAGAGGATGAGACGGTTGGATGGTATCACCAAATCAATGGACATGAGTTTGAGCAAGCTCCGGGAGATGGTGATGGACAGGGAAGCCTGGCGTGCTGCAGTCCATGGAGTTACAAACAGTCGGACACGACTGAGCAACTGAACAACAATGACAACAGTATGTACATGTCTGAAGAGATTTAAAACATTATGATAAAAACAAAGTCAAGACCTCACACATAAGAATGGAAACTTAACATATTTCAAGTTTAATGTAAAAAATATACCATTTATATAGAACCTGGTGTGAGGATTCATGATTAGAGTACAGGTGAAATAAAATATCATCAATCACCAAATATTTTGCCTGCCCCAAAGCATCCTGACATAGTTCTTTCATTTAAATCACTATTATTTCTCTTTTGTTCAAAAGCAGATAATGCCTGGAACAACGATCTAGGTGTCAAATATAATTTGGATTTAGGAGTGATTATTCATATCACTAAAGGAGTCTTTTCTATTTCATGTTTATACTCACAGGATTATTTTAGCTCATAAGTTCTCTTGTTTCAGGCAAGGCTTTACTGGGGCCCCTTGCTGCAGCAGAGAACAAGTAACAGGCTACCGTGCTCACTCGTTCACTGAAAGGGGTGAGCTTTCCCTTGTATGGGGTGAGGGCCGGGCTGTATTAACGTATCTAACCTAGAACTCTGACTTTACCAGTGAGCCAGCGGGAGCTCAGAGGAGGTACTGGGTGGGCCAGTACCCTAAGATCTTATGGAAAAACCCAAACTCAACAGGGCCTGATGACAGCTGAGGGGCAGTCAGAAGCGCGCTCCCCCCAGACTGAGGGGGCGTGCGGGCGTGCATTTGGTGGGGAGAGGGTGGGGGCGGCAGGCTGTCAGCCCACTACCTCCAGTGCTTCTGAGTCCACAGGAGTAAGCAGGGCTACACTGGCGTAGATCTCCACCGCTTTGTCACCAGCCTTCTTGGCCTCCTCGTGTACACGGGCAGCTTGCTTCTCCAGATCCTGGGAGATGTTCTTTGCTTGTTCATACCTAAAGAGCAAAAGACATGACCTAATGAAAACCTACATTCCTTTTAGCATCTTAATGCTCACCAGATTCATTCTAGTTTAAATCACTGTGACAGTATTTTCAAAACTTCAAAGAAATGTTATATTAAAATGCTATTATTTAATATCAATACAGCTTACATTTCTGTTTTACCTCATCACTTTATACCATATACCATACGCTTTCTTATTTCAGACACCTTTTAAATATATGTAGCTTATTTTCTCTGCTTATTCTGTGATATTTTTTCTCTTTTCATTTATGCAGAATTTTAAGTATCATGGCTAGTCTTTACCATTCTCTGCTGATACAGCAATTGGATCAAATAAAATCTCTGTGGCTCTAGATCCTTTGCTCTAATTACTGCATCATTTCAAAAGTATGATTAATAAAAGATACCTTACTGCATGAATGTCTGGCCTGGATTCACCAGCATTTAATTCTTCACTGAACTGGTGCCACTTACAAGAACAATTTAAATTATACTCACTTTCTATTAAGCTCTTCAATCTCAGATGCTGTTTGATTTTCTCCTGCTAGCGTCCTCAAAAGCAGACTGTACGCCTCGGCTGAGGTATCACTGGCTGTTTTCGCTACTCGTACAATGTCATCAGCTTCTTGTTTATGGCTACATAACGTAACAGGAAAAACAAGTCATGAAACAGAACCTTTTAATAGGGAAAGAAGCAGAATTCAGGTAAAGCTTACCTTATTATATACATATACTACCGCGGGCAGAGTTCCACAAATATTGAAAAGTCTTATACATTTGGAATTTTATCATTTCAGTGGGGCTGAGTTTATAAATAAGCATTCTGTAATTTGAGAAAATGACACTTCCCAGGAAGATTAATGATATAAAATATATAGGGACAAATGCTTTTACTTCTTAAAAATTACTTTTAATTATTTAAAAATATTTATACATGAAGCTATGTATGCTGGCAAGAACTCATTTCTCTAGTCATAAACACAAATCTCAGACCCCATCTTTAATGGCTACTCTGGTTCCGTTACTACGTCATCTTAAAACCCCTTTGACTATTCAGATTTCTCACATGCAACCTAGAAGAGCAATTCAATGCCAAATGGCAAAGAACACGTCGACTGGGACTGCTGGGTAACTGCTAAGGTTTTTTTTCAAGCTCTTAAATTTCATATTACATTGTCACACTGCAATACCTGGCCATTCCTTTTGATCTGATAAACTTTCCTTCAAATTTCATGCAAGAAGTACACCACAATTAATTTATCTCTAAGACCTAATTTTTCTTGGGAGCTTTCTCTAATGTTTTCAGCTGTCTTGTTTTAATCAGAAAATCCAGCTCTGAAACCATGAGTGTTCTATGAACTAAATTACAGCAGTTCACACACTCACATTTACAAAGAACAGAAAGAGAGCACATATATTAAAGCAAGAAGCCAATGCAGCTGCTCAGACATTGAGGCTAAAATTCTATCAGGTTTTACTTAAGCACCCTAGACCCATGAGGTCTACTGTTCTGCAATGCATTTATAAACATTTATTGAGTACTTATTATATGTCAGACATTATTTCAAGCACTGGGACTTCAGCAATGATTAAAGCACACAAAAACACCTGCCCTCACAAGGATTACATTTTAGCAATTTTATTTTTTTTTAAATGCTTTAACTTGATGCCTTCTACAATTTAAAGTCTTCTTAAGAAATTGCCTTACTTTTAATCAGGAGTGAAATGATCTGTTTGGCTAATTTTCACGTGTACTATGGGTTGTTAAATGTTTTCTACTGAAGCTTGAAAACATTTTTGTTAAAAATTTCAAAATTAACAACAACAACAACGACGACAAGTGACTTCAGTGGTGGTCCAGCGGTTAAGAATCCGCCTGACAATGCAGGGGGACAGGGGTTCAATTCCTGGTCTGGGAGGATCCCACATGCTGCAGAACAACTAAGCTCACAGCCACAACCACCGAGTCTGCGTGCCCTGGAGCCTGTGCTCCGCAACGAGAGAAGCCTCCACAGCGAGAAATCCCACACTGCAGCAAGGAGCAGCTCCCACTCACTGCAGCTAGAGAAAAGAAGACGGGCAGCAGCAAACACCCAGTGCAACCAAAAGTAAATAAACAAAAAATTTTAAATCAATAACCTTAAAAAAGCAGCTAAGTTCTGAGCTTCTTATCTATTAAAGATTAAGTTTTCGAAATTAAAAATCTAAATTTTCCTTAGATATATAGGTACAATTTCCCCCAAATCATCATATTCTAATATTCAAAATAAATATTCTAATATCAAAGTGAAGGGAAGAAAAGAATACATGTAGTTCTTTTCAGAGTACAGTACATAACATTTCAGAAAAGAGTAAACTTTGCAGAAGTAATTATGTGGGAAGTGTCTGTGGGTGCAGGATGGAACATGTACATGCCATAACATAAGTCATAACTTAATCATTAAAAAGGGATCTAGAGGTTACCGTTCAGCAAGCTTCCGTGCCTCTTCTGCCAAAAGGGTCATGTTGTTGGGGTCCCCTGTAGACTCTGGCTGAGTGACTGACTGAAGAGGAAGCAAACAAAGCACTGATCTCAAAGGGGGGGATTATTTATATTAATAAACAAGTGTCAAAACTATATCTTTATCAATATTATTTAGAGAAAGAATGCCTCTTCATTTAAGAGATCTTCAGTTAATACCAGCATCCTTGACTACAGATTATTATTTCTATTTTCAGCAGAGAATAAAGAAAGCTTAAATTGCCTAGAAGGACCAAAACTAGAGACAGGACCCAGATGTCCTTTGGTTTTAATTCAGTTTGGGATAACTATTTCAAGGCAACCATGAGCAATGTGGCTTTCTTCCTCCATGTTAAGAGACAAATAAAAAGAGACATGGAGTCAATTTATCTGAGGAAGCACTCCACTCCCAGTAAAAGACTTGCTGTGAATGACCAAAGGACCCTCCCAGTCCCACCTCAGACTGTCCCAGTCACTCACCACATTGGCGATGGCAACCTTTGCTTTCTCAAGTTCTCTGGATGCGATCTCAATTAACTGCTCTGTGCTTTCTACCCGGGAACGTGCTTGTTCAGCCAAGTTTCCGGTCTCTCCAATGGTATTGCGGATATTCTGTAAACGGCTAATTTGGCTGAATAAGGTGTTATTCACTCTCTGGAGGCGATCCATCAGATTTTGGTCTACATCTGCAATACCAGTGCAGAAAAAAGTTCATAAATTATCTGAAGGGGGGGGGGCGGACACACATCATCTCGTATGAAATCTGAGGCACTGCTTCTCATCACACTTCCAAATATAGCATCTTTCTGACAAGTTTCCCGGAGAAATCAGCAGAGCTGGTCAGTCCTCACTGTGCCCAGCAGTACCACCACTGTTAACATTCAACCATGGTCTCCGATTGTGTTTAACTGGAGATGAACACACCATCTCTCCCACTTGGCAACGAGTCCCTCCATTCTTACTCCACACAGCATCCCAGTCTTATACAATGGCAGGCCAAGAGAAGACACTCAAAACATAATCTAATGAAGCAAAGATTTTGACACTCCAGCACATGCAAGGTTGAATCATAAAAATAGAATGTTGGTAAAAGCACTACCAGCCCTGAGAGCTGGACAGTTTTCTAAACTAGGAAAAAAGTCAGTTCAAAATAGAAGTTGAAATACAGCACTTTAAATTCATTTTTAAAATTTTATACTAAGTAGACTCTTGCTGCCACCCCACACATCCACGTAATTTCAGACTGATCTCTGTTTTTGAATAGTTCTTCGAATTGTTCTTTCTTAATTTTGCCCATTCAATTTAAACCTCATAGCTGTACCCTAATCAATCAAGAAACATATATAAGCCCATACAAAGATAATTCTGACATTATTAAAATTCTCACATGTCATAAGGGTATATTAATATACAGGAGCCATTAAGTCAATCTTATTCAAACTGACCAGTTCTTAATTCTGCATGATGCTAGTGTTGGTATCTGAATTTTCCAAGGTATGTAAAAGAGATGAGAAGTTGAAGTCAAGATCAACAAAGGAATACAGGCTTAGAAAATAGCATCTTGGAAGCAAGGTCACCCAATCAATATACACACAAAGATGGTAGACTGCAAAATGCTCATCTAACTACAGAATGACCCCGTTCAGAGATTACTTAAACAATTCTTTGATAACCCAAAGATTTTTAACAAAACACAAAATAAAAAGCAAGTTGAAATCATGGAGAATCACTTAGATTTAGGAAGCAGCCAATGAAGTTATAGAAGCCCCTTCCATTTCAAACTCCAAGAAGGTAACCTATTGATCTCTCTGGCCAGTTCTTTAGAAAAACAATAGTATCCCCCAAAAAAGGGAAGAGATAACCTAAGTGGATCACTTCAAAGCCCTCTAATTCCAAGTGTCCACATGTACCACATAATCTCCTTTCAAAACTGAAGAATAAACACAAGTTTAAACTGCAAATGAATACTTAGGGAGAGTCTGAAAGGATAAATCATTATGAAGACATTCTTATTCTCAGCTAGTTTGAACCTAAGTGGGAAAAGTCAGCCAGGAACCCCAGGAACCAGGACTCAGTGGGCATGGATTTTAAACCCCAGCCTCACTCTGGTGGCTCCCAAAGCGAGCAGAAGCAGGAGGTGGCTTGAGGGGGAGATGCGGTGGCCATGGCTCCTATTAGAGCTTCGTCCCACAGAATCATCCTCTCGGGCAGAGGAAAGGCTGTAGTCTTTGTGGCTGAAAAGAGCCCGATGTGCTGCGGCTGCACCGAGGTGTGGAGCCTGGATGAGCGGCAGTGCCGGCCGACCTCGCTTTCTTGCCCCTGACTGAGCTCGAGATGCTGGCACCAGAGCTGCGTGCCACACCCCACCTCTCAGGTGGCTGACCAGCGCTTAAGAACGACCACCCCACATTCAACTCTTCAACGGATATGGCAGGACAGATATGAATTTGTTGTTACAGGAGAATACGTTAATGGAAAAATGTGTGTCAAAATTTGAAAAATTAACATTCTAAAAAAAACCCCCACCATTATTTATACAGAACAGGAAACCCATAAATTCTTCTTAATCTAGGTTTAAGACTTAAAATGTAACAGCTGAAACAAAAAACATGTTTTTGACATCTCATTTTATTTTTCCATTTCTAAAAATTTACCTCATAGAACAATTTCTGGACTGTCCTACAAAAATTAAACAAACTTGCCCAAACCAGATACATCCAATTTCTTCCTTCTATACCTCAATCATTTTATAAAATCTTAGGGACATTTACAACAGGAAATAAGCAATATATTTAGTTTTCGTTGACCCGTACCCTGACAAGAAGACTTCTCTAACTCATAGTGGACATGGAGTCAATAGGGAAGTTGATCATTGCGGCCCCAAGTGTGTTAATGTTACCGCACACTTGCTGTGAATATCTGGTGAGCACCTGAGTCTCAACAATGGAGAAAATCCAACACAAAAGTAACCTCAGACCAACAGTGAGCACCTTGATAGAAGGATTTATAAAATGCTTGGGTTTTAACATCTAGCCATTTTGATGTAATGGGAGAATTATTTTCTGCTTGGTGTATCTTAAAACAGTGACAAATTCTTTTCTACATGTTTAACAAATAAAATCATTCATATTCTAAACATAGTTTAAAAACTGAGAAAGCATTTTATAAAACCATACTATTTAACCTTGAACTAAGAGCCACATCTAAAGATGGCCCACCTCCCGGAAATTACCCACTTGTTTAACTTCATGTACCTTTGACATCCTGGGCTTCACGAAGGAGTTCGGTAACTTCTCTCTCTGCTTCCTTTAGTCTATCCTCAAAGGCTTGATCTGTCACCATCTCATCCCCAGTTCCAAGGTTTGCAATGAGATTCTCTAATTCCCGGAGTTTTGCTCGATGATCAGCAACCTAAACATAATGAGAAAGGAAAAAGGAGAGGTAGGATATATAAACATTCCTGAAGAACTTGATTGTACTTCCTGCAGAAATAATAATCAAAGCGGTGCTCTATAAGTGTGGAGGTCTACATACTCCATGTATGTAAACTTTTAAGTAGATAACGTGTAGTTTTTCCTCATTTCTCTGGTTTCAAAAGAAAAACTGTCAGGCTGATTCCATTGACTTTAAACTCTGCAAGCTGATGATTCTCCAGTTCTGATCGCTCTCTCCTGTTTGAGATTACTTTCCTGATATCGCCAGTTGGCTCTCTGACAGGTATTCTCAACTTAACATCCAAAACTATACCCTTGGTTTTTTTTCTCTTGAGTATGTATTCTCTGAATCATCTCCGTCTCAATAAGTAGTGCCTCCAACTACCTTAAGCAAAACAACCCAAGATCCACCCTTGGTTCTTCTCTTTCCCTATCCTGACCCTCTCTCATATCCTGCCTTGTTGAACACACATATTTATCTAATTCAGTCTAAGTTTTCCCTTTTGCCCTCTTCCTAACCATCCAACTGCATGAAGCAGAGTGTTCTTGAAGTATAAACTGAATTTCCCAGCTTAAAACTCTTTAGTGCACTCCCATTGGATTTTGAATAAAATCTGTATTTCTTACTCTGGTCAACATGGTGCAACATAAGCAGTCTCTAACAACCTCTCCAGTCTTATCACAACCATTCCCTTTTTTTTCAGCAGGATCCAGATACCCTAGAGCTTCAAGGCCTCTGTACCCCATGTTCCTTCTTCCTGGAACAACCTACCGATCACTTCTCCTTTGGCTTGTTCTTTCTTATCCTTAAGATCTCACCTTAAGTGAGTTTCCACAGAGGCTTTATAGAAAGTAGTTCTCCCCAGTTATTCTCTGCATTCTTTGTTATACTTATCTCAGTCAGTATTTAATTTTTATTATGTGTCTCCCAGTCAGCACTTGAGCCCTTGAGAACAGGGGCTGGGTCTATCTGATTCACCATTTTTTCTCTAGAGCTGAGAGCATAGGAAGTGCCCATTCAACATCTGCTGAATGAATGAACGCGTGCACTGTTGACAGCTGACCTTATCCTTCACCAGCCGGTAACAAGCTGGACATTCCTGACAGCCAGGCCAAGACCGATTGTAGAAATAGTTCTCTTCACACTGGTCACAGCGATTCCCCACAAAGCCTTCTCTGCATTCACAGCGACCATCATCCTTGCACTGGAGGGAAAGAGACCCCTCAGGATGACAGTCACAGGCTGCAGAATAAAGGGAAAAGGGTACATAATAAGGAAAAAACAGGAGTGCATTTTCTTTAAGCTCAGACTGATATCAATAAGCCAACTGTACTCTCATTATAAGTAGATGCTTAGTGAAAAACAGGCTGATTTAGGAGAATTTAACTGGTTATGCCTGCTCAGCAGAGAAGTCAGACATTTTTAAAACAACAGTAAATTTTAAAGTGAGCATCTTTTGGAGGGGGCACACTTCCTATGACTGAATAATTATACTAATTAGTCCATGAAGTAGAAATCAGTCCATTATAGAAAGTGCCCTTTTCGTGCACTTCCAAGAATTCATCTCTACCTTCATCTCTCCAACCGTTTAATTTTTTCTTTCTCTAAGGAACTAGAACACCCAAATGCTAGTGCCGATTTTCCATTATTTTGTAGTTTGTTTACTCATGTTGTTCTCTGAACGGAGTCAATGACCTATGCTGCATTCCACAGGAGAAACGAAGGAATTCAGAAAGCAAAAGCCCAAACTGTTCTGCGGCCTAATTCCAGGCAAGCGTTTATGCCCAAGAGCAGCAGATGTGGACATGTAAGCGCACCAGAAGGGCCCCAAGGGTGGGAAGCAACTGCAGTCAGTAAGTCAACAAACACGCCTGAGCAGAGTCCCTCACAGCTTCATTATCTGCACGAAGAATGTGATCAGTTAAAAAGTTTCACTAAGCACAGGAGGCGGCTCGGTAATCAAAGGGTAATCACTTGGAAATATGAAAGACCAGAAAAAGAATCAGAAACACCATAAAAGAAGACATAAATCAGGTGGTTGCTAAGAAACCAGAGAGGCTTTTGGTCCTCTGAGTTTTACAAATGGATCATGTTTCTGGAATAAAGCATCTCTGAGGACTTGGGTATAGCCCTGACTGTGAGCCGTAGGCCTACATGGAGGCTGGTGAAATGTTTAGGATTCACAGTTCTAACAGGAATGAGAGGGGACTGAAGACCTCTATGCCACCCACGCCCCTTACGTTTGCAGCCTTCGGGTCCAAACCCAAAGTGGTTGACCTCGCAGCGCTCACAGTGCTGACCGGTGATGCCAGGCTGGCACTCACACTGGCCACTGTGGATGTCACACTGTCCGTTGGTGGAACCCAAAGCGTGGCAGTCACACCTAATAAATGAACACATGAAAATTCTCAGGTAAGAAAAACAGACTTTCAGCAAACCTTTCTTTTTTTTCTTTCAGCACAGGACTGATACAATTTTGTATCAGAAAACAGAATGTTTTAATGATGACAGATGTTAAGGGTTATTATGCCCCCACGGTTCCAGTAATTTTCATGAGCTCTACTCAGATCTTCTTTTTCTAACCTAACCCACACAAATACGGCTGTTCCACTACTAAACCCATTTCCTATCACTCTCCAACCTGGGACTGCATGGGCGCTGGGCTGGAGCTTTGAAAATGGGAATTCTCAGCCTCTGAAACTCTGAATGTCTCAGAAAGGACTTTATAATTTGCATTTTTTTAAACAAATGTTGCTCAGGTGATGCTGACATAGCTGGTGCCACTGCCTTCCACTCTCTGCTCTCATTACTGCATTACAGCTCTCCAGCATCACCTCTAAAGGGTGCCTTGCCTATTTCAGGCACTCAATTCCCGAACAAAGCCAAACCAACTGCGGAAATATAACTTACAAAAATGCACCTGTGACAATAAAAGAAAGCCAAGGTTACCCGCACCAAAGGCACCCGCCGTTTTACCTCTCACAGCCCTGCCCGCTCTGCAGGTTGTAGAATCCGGGGTCACAAGCGCCGCAGTCCCGGCCGGTCACACGGGGCAGACACTCGCACTGCCCGGTCACGGGGTTACAGCTGCTCTGCTGTTTCACCGTTCCGTAGGGGTTGCAGTCACAGGCTACGGCAGGAAGACACAGACAGCAAAAGATGCACATCACCCGAGAGGAACGCTCAAGTGTAAACGACACAAATAGTCTTTCGACTCGTGCTGTCCAACACAGCAGCCACCGGTCACTGGATGGAGGTGCACTGTCAATGTGAAACACACACTCAACTTGGAAGAAGCAGTGTGGAAAAAAAAAAATGTACATCTCAACCATTTTTTATTGATTACTTGCTGAGATGATAATACGTTAGATATGGTAAATAAAATACAATGTTAAAATTAACTTAACCTGCTTCTCTTTATTGTACTGTATCTACTAGAACAATTTAAATTACGTGAGTGGTTCACACTATACCTCTATGCAACAGCGCTGCATTAGACCAGACAACTGTAAATATTTAGAGAGACCATGCAGTGACGCTCAGGATGAATAAGTGTAACTGCGAGAGGATTTGGCTGATGGCTGGTTACCTTTGCATTTGTCTGCTGGATTGGGAGCCAGGGGATTTCCAAAAAATCCATCTTTGCACCGGTCACAGTAGAAGCCGGCCGTGTTATAGATGCACTTCAGGCATTCTCCCGTCAGGCGGTTGCAGTTCCCAACTGCGTTGGGATCGATATTGTCATTGCACTGGCACAGGCGGCAAAGCCTCACGGGGCCGTTACTACCCAGAGGGTCTCCGAAGTAGCCGTCATCACAGAGCTCACATCTCTTACCTGCGTGTGAGACAATCTGATGTTACCAGAGAAAGGCCTTAGATGTTTCTAGTGCCACTGGTTACAGACAGCCTGGAGCAATCACCAGGCATAATGCTACCCGGGGCCATGGACACGGCACCAGCCTATGAGAGAAGTCGACCTGGGCTGCAGCTCTGGCGCGGTGCCCGGCCACTGGGGTGGACACATCTCCATTTCTTCAGAAAGACAGCACCCAGTTTGCCTCCTTCTCCAGCTTTTGAGAATTAACTGAAATCATGCCCTAAGAGTGCTTTATAAATGAGGCTTTACTAAACTTTCCAGCCCCAAGGGTTGGCACATTCACCCGTGTTTGTTTTTGTCAATAACATTGAGAAAACTGAAAGATGACACTTTTTATAAACATGGTTTTTAAAAAAATATTTATTTGGCTGTGCTGGGTCTCAGTTGCAGCACACGGAATCTTTTGTTGAGGCGCACAGACTCTCGAGTTGCAACGCATGGGCTTAGTTGCCATGTGGTGTGTGGGACTTAGTTCCCCGACCAGGGATTGAACCCATATCTCTTGCATCAGAAGGCAGATTCTTTACCACTGGACCACTGGGAAGCCCCTGAAAATGACTCTTCATATCATTCGTTCCTTATACAACAGAGCTGAAAAAGTGACAGTCACTCAGTCATGTCTGACTCTTTGTGACCTCGTGGACTATAGCCCACCAGGCTCCTCTGTCTACGGAATTCTCCAGGCAAGAATACTGGAGTGGGTTGCCAGTCCCTTCTCCAGAAGGTCTTCCTGACCCAGTGATCGAATCTGGGTCTCCTGCATCGTAGGCACATTCTTTACCATTTGAGCCACCAGGGAAGCCCCATATAGCTGGTTTGGCAGGATCATTTTCTTAAAACATAAAAGGCATCTACTAATCCTTGTTTGAGCAGTGTCAGCCGGCAGAGAGAGACCTCAGAGATCATCATTTGCTACTCATTCTTATTATGAAGAAAGGAACACACAAGCTAAGAAATTTGGCCACAACCAAGCAACTAATAATAAAAGAGACAGAACTAGCATTCAGGACTCTTCCCACTACATTAAACTCACTGCTCCTCATCCTTCCTTTTCCACTTGCCCACCATTATTAGCTCAAGTTGTGTTCTTGTTATCTTTGTACCTAACTGGGCCTAAATTAGCCTAAACTTCTTTTGGAGAAATAGAGGTTTGTTCATTTACTCATCCCTTTAACACTGCCTGAGCATCTATCATGCACAGACTGTTCTAGGGCTGTCCAGGGCAACGTGGAGAACAGGGTGGATGAGGTCTCTACTGTCACAAGGCTTGTGCTGCCCCTGAGGCAGATGAGTTCACAAACAAACAAACAAGACCACATCAGATAGCGACACGCACAAAAAAGTTAAAACAGAAAATATGATGAGAGAGACAGGTCAAGGGCTACTTCATATTGGGTGGTTCCTCTGTAAGAGGAGCTAATTGGGATGGCAATGGAGAGACACAAGAAATAAACCATGATAACATCCAAGGGAAGAACATTCCAGAAAAGCAAGATGAGCTTGTGGAAGCAGTCAGAGCAGCCATGTAGGGCACAGTAAGGAAACTGGGTTTAAATTAAAGTGCAATGAGGTGCTATTGGGGGGAGGGGGGTGTTTCTAAGTGATGAGATCTGAGTCACATTTTACAAGTATTATTTTGGCTGCTGTATGGGGAATGGGTTGTAGGAGAGCAGAGTGAAGCATGGAGGCAGATTAGGAGGCTATCTCAGGTGAGAGATGACCATGGTGTCGAACAGGGTGGTTACCAGTCAAAGTGGTAAAGAGTGGTCAGATTTGAGATAATAACACCTTCTGGCTGACTCCTAGAAAATGAAAGAAAGAAGAATCAAGGATAAGCCTAGGATTTTAGCTTGAGCAAATAGGTGGATGGAGATAAAAGACTAGGGAAGGAACAGAGTCAGAATTGAAGACAAAGACCTAGCTTGGATTTGCTTAAATTTGAGATTCCTTTAGCTGTCTGATTCAAAATCACAACAGAAAAGATTTGGCACCTTCAAACTAACAACAGTTGAGCAGAGTTAAGAAAGACAGCATCTACAGAAGGCAGGGGAGAGTGCTGAGACATCTCAAGTAGAGTGTAGCACTTGGGATAGTAATGCAGGGGTCCATAACCTGGACCTCAGGGGGTGAGCAGTTACCAGAACCGAGTAGTTTCTAACTTTATCAGAAAGAGCTGCTTGGAGAAGGTCACCTGCCAAGAGCTGAGAGCCCCTTCAGAGACCGGGCCTTGGAATACATACCCTGCCCTCCTCCTCTTTTCCTCTCTGATTTATGTGCTTCCCACCAAGCACAGATGGCCATGTGCTGCAGCACACACAGGTCTCATCAGGGTGGAGCAGCGCAGAGCATAGGGTGGAGCAGCGCAGAGCATAGATACGGAGGGGCAGATGGAAGGCTCCCCACCCACCATCCAGGTAGAGATAGCAAGTAGGTAGCTGGCCCTCGAGAGAGCAAGGTCAGGGCTGAAGACATGGATTTTCCAGCTGTAAGCAAGGAGGGGCTTTTGAAGCCTAAAGGTGAGAGGTGCTCACCTACGGAGAATACAGATAAGAAAACCCCAGGCTGAGAAACAGAAGTGATCGAAGGAGACACAAAAGAAGAGAAGAAAGGGAGAAGAAAACCAAGGAGAGGGAAGAGTCACAAAAGGCCAGAGGAGAAACTCTTTGGAGCAGACGGAGCAGTCAGCAGTGTCCAGCGTTGCTCAGACACCAGGTCAGACGAGGGAGAAAACGGACCACTGCCTCTGGCAAACAGACACCACTGGCGAGGAAACAGAAGGTCTGGTTGGGGACGGCGCAGGGCGTGAGGGCAGGATAGCTGGGGACGGCGCAGGGCGTGAAGGCAGGGTGTTAAAGGGGCGGGGAGCTAGGGGCCCTTTTGCCTCTGAGGTGAATACAACAGTCTCTAGACACGAGATCCTTCTCCAGTGTAGGATTAAGACAGTACTTTAGTTCTGCTTTTTCATCAGGTAATTTAGCTAGTTTAGATATGATCCATTTTTTAAATTTCTTAGGGACTTCCCTGGTGGTCCAGGGGTTAAGAATCTGCCTCCCAATGCGGGGGACACAGGTTTGATCCCTGGTTAGGGAACTAGGATCCTACATGCTGTGGGACAAATAAGTCCAGGTGCTGCAACTATCAAGCCCGCGCACCGCAACCAGGGGGAGACCCGTACGCTTCAACGAAAGATGCCCTTGCCACAACTAAGACCTGACTAGCCAAAAAGAAACATTAAAATGTCTTAAAACCTGTCTTGAATAAAACTCAATTGAGAAACTTGCTAGAAAAGTCAAAACAGAGCTACATGGTAGCCCATAAAAGCTCTCGTTGCAAAATATCGTCCAAAGCTATAGCTAGCCTGCCCCTTTGTTTCAGAGTCTAGGATGCAGGTTCTAATCCAGGCAGTACTACTTACATGACTTGGGCAATTTATAGACTTCTCTTATTATCCTTCTCGTACCAGGAGAGGTGTCTTTATTCTCCTTTAGCATTCCTGAGTGCATTTCTTTATCTGAACTAACCTCACTGTATGAAAATGATCTCTGTGCTTCCCTCCACTTTTAGACCCTGCAGAGTAGAGACCCTCCTTTAATCATCTTCATAATCCCAAAGCCATGCATTCAAACAATTTTGTTGAAAAGACATTAATATTATTCATTTACCTGAAAAGATCGTTTTAAGTATTAAATGCAGAAGCGAATCATGCACAAAGATCTCAGTGACTATCATCAGTCACTCATATCCTTCAACAGTCTTCTAAGTGAGGAGCATCTTACTTTGCCCCTGAAAGTTCTATTCATTTATTTAATAAATACTCACACTCATTCAACAAACACATGCGCCAAACACTATTTCAGGTGTTAGGGATACAAAGATGAATAAAGCAGAGCAAAGTCCCTGCTTCAAGGACCTTAACTCTGGGGATGGAAGCGGGAGATAAGCAATAAACAAATGAATACACATAAAAATATCGAGCGGCTAAAAAGTGCTATAAAAAGCAAAGCAGGATGTAGGAAAATAAAGAGTGATAATATTGTTCTTTTTTAACAGGTTCTGTGCTGGTTTCATGCAGACTTCTATATCCTAATTAACATCCTCAAGAATTGCTATAAATCATTTTCTTCAATCCAGGTGATACCTCACAAAACAAATGCAGCTGACCCTTTAACAATGCAAGGAGTGGGGGGGTTGACCGCCCCCCTGCACAGTCAGAAATCCACAAATAAACTCTGAAATTCCAGCCCCCACCTTTTGTGGTTCCTCTGTATTCACAATTCCACATCCATGGATCCAGCCAACCATGGACTATAGTACTGTAGTATTTACTATTGAAAAAAATCTGCATATAAGTGGACCCGTGCAGTTCAAACCTGTGATGTTCAAGAATCAACTGTGTATTTCACAAATGTTCTGTGAGAAGCATTTAATTAGTGACTAATATAACATTTTCTAAAATCTTCTATATGATATTCCATCTTTCTATAAGCATCCCAAATAATTTTACTTCACCACCTGTACTAATTAGTATAGACATGAGAACGACTCCACAGTGCTTAACTGTTCAGCTCATTGACCAGTGACGTAACAATGAGTAGAGGGATCTCTTACCAAAATGCTGTGTTAAATGCTTCTGAATGTAGACCCTGAATGTGAGATATTTACTATACTCTGCAATGGCAGAGCAAAGGGTCCTAAGAACCTGGGGCAGGAGCACAGAGCGGATTCATTGAGGAAAACCATTCTGGGGAAGGGATGTTTCAGCTCAATCCACAGGAGAGTTAGGAGCTGGCTAGGAAAAGTGAGATCTGGGAAGAGGTCCAGGTAAGCATTCTAGAGAAAGAATAGTTCATGGCAGGCCAGAGTCGGGTGCCTCTGGGGGAAGACAAAACCAGGAGGGCTTGGAGAAGAGGGTACCAGTGCAGAGGCAGGTGGTGGGGATGAGGCTGGAGAAGCCTGTTTGTAAGAGACTCTGTTGGGCCACTGTTTGGTTTTTTTAATAAATGACAACAACAAAAAGAAAAGTTAAAAATATGAAATTCTATACTAACCTCTACTCCTCATTTCCTCAACTGCCTTTCGCGAATGACTGGCTCTCCCTGCGTGGCTCTGCCTGGCGCTCGGTGTGGGGCCGGGGAGGCGGGGAGTGGAAGGAAGGTAGAGTGTTTTCATGGTTCCCAATAATTAAAGAGTGTTTTTGATGAGACAAGAGAGATGCAGATTATGAGCTCAGTGCTTCAGTTGTTCTGCTTATGTTCACGCTCTGTGGCAATATTTTTTGAACAAACAGCTTATAGTGGAGTCAAAGGCTGGAAGGCTGGCCAGAACATCTTATTACATGATGGCTGAAGTCAGTGGAAGAAGGGGACCTGTCACCTGTGAGCCCCCGCCTCCTCTGTCAAGCAGCACAGGCAGCTCCTTGAGCAGCGAGCAAAGCCCTACTTCAGTGTTCTCATCAAAAAGAAAGAAACTCAGAGACCGGGAACAGAGGTATATCCAAAGCTATAAAAATATTTTATTCCCAACTAAATGTGATGGGCTCTGATACATGTGAAACAACTATTTAGAGAAAAAATGTTTTAAATGCCGCTTTACATCAAGAATCCCTGGGCGGCCTCACAAACTGAAAATCAAGTTTTGAACCACATCTTATTAAGAGAGTGCGTTGTAGTAAATCATCATCGTTGGCACCTGAATGCCGAGGTTGAAATTCCAGCTCCTTCAATGACCAGCCATCCATCTTTGGACAGGTAACTTAATTGTGCCTCAGTGTTCTTAGCTGTAACCTGGGGATGGACTTCCCTGGTGGTCCAGTGGTTAAAAATCTGCCTTGCAATGCCAAGGATGTGGATTCGATCCCTGCTCAGGGAAACTAGGACCTGATGCAACCAAATAAATATTGGTGGCTGAGTGGTAAAGAATCTGCCTGCCAACGCAGGAGACTTGAGTTGGAACGTTGGGTCAGGAAGATCCCCTGGAGGAGGAAATGGCAACCCACTTCAGTATTCTTGCCTGGAGAATCCCACGGACAGAGGAGCCTGGTGGGCTACAGTCCATGGATTCACAAAAGAGTCGGACACAACCTGGAGACTAAACAGCAGTGAACAACCTGAGGATAATACAAGAAGCTATCTCAGAGGGCTGTTAAGGATTAATGAGGCAGTATATGTTAAAGTACTTAGAAAAGCACCCGGCCATAATTATCACGTCAGCTGTTATTAATATCATATATGCATTTTATGAATCCATAATAAACCTGTTTCTGACAAAACTTCTGCTACTGGGAAAACTAATCATGAAACCAAACCAGAAAAACCCTAACCTCCAAAGCCCGTCCTTCCCAGGTGCTCTGCGGGTAGAGCCGACTCACCGGTCGTTCCGGTAGGACAGTTGGTGCACACCACCTCCTGTGTCTTAGGGACAACGGCACAGCTGGAGCCCCCGGGACATGGACAGGGCTGGCAATCGAAGGAGGTCCCCGTGGTCGAGTCTCCATAGTAGCCATCGCTGCACTTCTCACAGTGGGGCCCGGCCGTGTTGTCTCTGCAGTTACAAACACCTATTTGGAGAGCGGGTGTTGAGAAGAAGGCACGCGCCCAAGCGAACAAGACAGGGAGCATTTCTGACCCGCCTGCTGAAGAGGACTGAGGTCTAGCAGTCCCCAGAGGTCACCGTCTCACCTGTCTCAGGGTCACAGGTCTCACTGTGCCCGTTGCAGGTGCAGAGCACACACGGACTGTATGGGCCAAGGCTCGGGGTTTCTCTTCGGTAACCCGAGAGGCACATCTCACAAAACTGCCCTCCATATCCCACGGGACAGGTGCAGGACTCCACCCAAGTTGCGGGGACCCCGGGCCCAGGACGAGCGCTTGCCAGGGTGACATCATCCAAATAGCCAGCACCTGTGTGTGGAGGGGGGAAAGAGGATCACTGAACTGGCTTCCGTTTTCCAAAACTTCATGAAAATTCATCAGTGCTAAAGGATAACCAGATTCAAAATTTCGGAGACAGCCAACCATTTGTTTAATTTATCTACTGGAGAAGATAACTAGAAAATACCACTTAGAGCAATTATGTGGTACCTGGTGCTAAGTATCTGGAATGGCGGTATATCAAACTTTTATTTTTTAAACACACACACACACACACACACATACATGCACACAGAAATTTCAATTTTACAGTTCTCCCAATCTGATCTCCTGGAGAAGGAAATGATAACCCACTCCAGTATTCTCATCTGGGAAATCCCATGGACAGAGGAGCCTGGCGGGCTACAGACTCTTTGCGGGAGTCGCAAAGAGTTGGACATGACTCAAGTGACTTAGCACACGCACCCAATCACCAAAGTGAAAAACGAAAAGCACTGGGCAATGATCTGGGGCAAGAAGAGACGGAAGAATGTGGGAACAGGAAGAGTCTAAGGCTACAGCCACGAAGCCATGCTTTTGTTCTATTGCCACAAAAGCAGGCACTGGCATAGAATTTAAGGGTTGGAAAGCAGCGAAAGCACCTGTCAATAAGGACCATGCAACTGTATTTTTGCCCTGCATAAAATAGCAAAAATAATTAAACAAGTTTGAATAATCAAGGCTACTTTGACAAACATAATTACTCCAAAGCCATTACGCCATTATGCCATATATCATAACACCTTCTTGTTTTCAAAAGAAAATAAAAATAGAGAAAGCCTATGTTGGCTTAGCGCAAAGGTTCATCCAGCCTAACGGTGCATGTGACAGGCTCAAAAGGAACATCCTACCGAAGGGCCAAGTTTTTATTATACCAGCATGTTTCCCTTTAATTTCCATCCCACTCCTATCTCTTACAGTCTTATCTTTTAAGTGTATCTCCCCATGTTATGAAATATCACTTGTTTATATAGAAAATTACAAACTGAGGTTAAAGGACATCTCTTATTTCTGCCTTGAACTTAGTTTAACTTTTAATATATTTATGGGCTTTTTCAACATTAAATCATGAAAGGTATCTCCACTGTTAAAGTGCTTCCAACTCCAAACATTCTTAAGTCTCCCCATCCTAAAAGTATTCTTCCTTCAATCTGTCCCTAGTCCCAAATTAAAATCTATCGCTTTTCCTCCCCTTAAAGCTGCACTTCTTAAAAGAATATTTTACTTCATCTTCAAATGTACTTGTAATTTAATTTACTTAATTAAATCATTGCAATCTAACTTGTTCTAACACTTCTCTTAAAATAAAAAGTCCCCAATGATTCTTTAGTTGCCAAATAACAAAATCCAATTGTACTGTCTTTCTCAATCTGTTAACTTCCTTAAAATTCTTTTTTTCTCTTGAGTCTCAGATCATGGTCCTTAAATAACAATGTTTCCAGGATTGCTTCTTTTCTCTTCCTACATTTTTTGTCATATTTCCAAGTTTAAAAATGACTGCCCATACGCTGACAACTCTTTGATTCTAAATCTCCAGTCCCAACTAAGTCCCATCCAAATTTCTAACTACTTATAAGACATTTTCATTTGGATATTCATTTAGGCACCTCAAAAATCAACATATCCAAGCTGCGGATGCCACTGCCAATGCCACAACAATGCTCTGATTCCTCTCCCCCAGCATTCTCTACATTTCTACGAAATAGGTCCTTATTCTAAAAAATTATAGGAAAACAATTTAAAGGCACACTTATTTTTTTTTTAATTAATTAATTTATTTATTTATTTATTTTATCACAACCATAGTGTATCTTTTTTTTTTTTTTTTACATGTATTCCCCATCCCGGGCCCCCCTCCCACCTCCCTCTCCACCCAATCCCTCTGGGTCTTCCCAGTGCACCAGGCCCGAGCACTTGTCTCATGCACCCAACCTGGGCTGGTGAACTGTTTCACCCTAGATAATATACGTGTTTCAATGCTGTTCTCTTGAAACATCCCACCCTCGTAAAGGCACACTTAAAAACAGCTTTGTTTATCTAAAATTATAACAAATGTTCATTCAGTAAATTTTAACTTTTCATCGTTTAGCTAAAAGGGCTTGATAATTGATTTAGTTAAAAGGGTTTGATAATTACATAGGAAGAAGTAAAAAGAAATGGAGGGTAAGTAATGTGAGCCAACAGAACTATATTGGGATTCTTAGAAAAATTATATATATAATGTAACCTCAATAGGCTTACCCATTATAAGACAACACCATTTACTAATTTTTGGATAATTTTCTCCAGGTCCTTAAGAAAGGTTTCTAAATGCATTATTTTTATACACAATTCATGTATGATGAGGAAGTTTATTATACCACTTCTTTAGGGTCAGGTTTACATTAGGACTTTAGAGGTAAGCTTTTGATTATGGATCCTTTTTCCTAATCATCATCTTAAATGATTATCTTAATTATATTATAACTTACTTCTCTCACTGTATGTCCCACGAATCTTGATAGAGGTCAAATTGTTCAGGAGTTTCTGAAATTCGAAAGGGGTAAGAGTAGGCCTCCAAGGGTAATCTGTCGCTTCATGGAGCCTAGAGAAAAAGGAAGGGGCATGTTAACCTCTGTAAGGACAATTCTGGGAGCTGAGAAAGTATTTCTTACTCATCCATGCCACCCACGATGCACTGCTCTGCCGGCCTAACCACGTCAGAGATGAGTCTTTTGGTTTGACCATACCACTGGAAAAGGCACAGGTAAACCGGGGCAAGTGCCCTTTTACAGAGTCACATCGAGAACCCCAACGTTTCTCTTTAATACACACCTTGAGGCCTGAGGCACTTAGATAAAGAAACCACTTTTATAATTCTGGTCAAGTCAGATTTTATAAACCAAACTGTCTTACCTGAAGACGTATGTCACAGCGGTCTCACTTGGGTAGGAATTGCCCTGAGCGATCAAGGGCACAGACACTCTTAGGCCGGCTCCTTCAAGCACCAGGTCTTCTGCCGAGAGGCGAGTGTCTCGCCTGTCCACGCGGAAGGAGAAGGAGAAATTCTGACCATAACTCAACACCTGCTTGCCCAAGAACTTTGCTGGAAGGCAGACACAATGGTAAGCAAGAACATGAGGTCAGGAATAGACACAAGCACATGCCACACCACAAGGCTTCCGAGCCGTACTCACCAGGAGCGATGAAGTACCTAGGAAAGTAGCTGTCTGAGATGACGGCAATATCCTGCCTCTCGGAGGACCACTCAAATGATGCTTCAGAGCCATCCCTTTGTTCTGCACGCCACCCATCCTCATCTACAAGCAGAGGATGAAAACAAGTGCAGTTACCTTGCAAACATCCTGAATTCAGGTCCTCTATATTCCAAAAACATACAGAAAGTCATCAATGAAAGTTTTTGAATAAATGGAAGCTGTAACAGTACCTATATATGCTATACCTCTGAAGCTGTATTTTTCTTTATTTTATTTAACATTTATACTCACTGGTAAATTCTAAAACCATCTGTATATGTTTCCATTAAATTTTAATACTGTAAGCCTAGGCTCAAAATTCTAGGGGACAGAAGGGAAGGGCTCGTACCGGTCTCAAAGGCAGAGGTTACAGAATAGGCGCTGTAGCCAACGGCATTTGTACACACGGAAGAATGCCCAAAACAGAAGCAGGGGGCGCACCCCCGAGGGTTAGATGATTCCAGATTAAAAAATCCAGGTTTGCATCTGAAAGAGATTAAGATAGAATCAGCTATTTCTTGTATCTGAAATATGAGAGAAGACACAACACAGCCAGAGAAAGAATGAGCTACCTCTCACAATTGAAGCCTTCAACATTGTCTTTGCAAACACATCTTCCTGTTTCAACATTACATTCATCTATGCTGCCAGAAGGATTGCAAGAACATGGCCTGTTGGATGGAAAACGGAGTGAAACAATGAAATAAGAGGATAAAGAAATTTCGCTCCAAGTCAGTCTTTCGTTTTACATGTTAATAGATTTTTTTTTAAAAAAAGAAAGAAATACATAAAAAAGCAAAATGAATCCTAAAGTCATCTTTGTATTTGGATTTTAATTCAGTCAAGGACACCCATCACATTTAAACATTAAAAACTGCTTCATTTCTGTACAAAACAATCCTGGATCATCATTACAGCTAGAAGCCTTAAATCTTGGTGATAATTATTATGGGGGGGGGGGAATGTTTACATAGCTGCAGGTAAGCTATAAGATCTATTACTGCAACTGGATTCTGCCCCCTTAAAAAATCTTACCTGCACCCAGCCTCAGTGAGAGAATGGTACCCAGGCTGGCAACGGTCACACTTGTCCCCCATCACTCCTGGCTTACAGCTACACCTGCCATAGCTATCACACTGTGTACTGAGGGAACCTGAAATATAAAGCACTCAATGTCAACCACCAGATAGGCAAGTAAAACTAACGTCTCAAAGAAAGAAAACTGGTAACTAAAAACAGTGCTTGAAATTCAGTATGTAGATTGGTTTTCAGTGTCTAGATGGTAACCAAGAGAATAAAGACCAAATTTTAAAACAGAACTCCCTCAAAACCCATACCCCTTTAAACTGTGATGTTTAAACTTTTCAGACATACACCCTAAGATGAATCTACTCATAATTATTGAAAAATGCTAACAAATAACTCTGTACCCATGATAAACTGCATGCAAAATCAGTCACTGTGGACAAGTACAGGCTCCTTAGGGCCTGTGTCTAGAATTTAAGTATATACAGGCAGGAACAGCAAAAATTAAGTTCAAACTCCTAGAAAAGTAGAACAGACTAAGAGCTCTCAGCTCCTCTGAACACGTAGCAACATGCTGCAGGAGTTTAGTCCTCCGAGGAGGTTAGACTAAACAAAATCATTAACAAGGAAGAACTCACGGAACAGCTAAACAACCTTATACAGTCAAAGTTCAAATGGTCTCAATGATCTTACTGCTAATTATTTATAAACCATTACTCAGGCCAATCCCAGTTTTATACACACCAGAAAGTCATCTAAAGGTTCCACCTGGTTAAAGAGAGTTGATGCCAATGCCAAATCATTTACACAGTACAACAGTATTCACTCTTCTATACTTAACCTGTGAGAATCCTAAGGAAACAAAGCTTTATTTCCTGGAGATACAGGAAATGCTTATTTTGTCTCCCAACCCATCAGGATAAAGCAAACCCTGGCTGTCACTTACCAACAGGACTACAGTGGCAGGGAGAGCAGGCTTCCCTGTTCCCGAGGCGGAAGAAATTCTCCCTGCACCTCTCACACTTGGCGCCGTCTGTGTTGTCCTGGCAGTTGGTACAGTGGCCACCATGGCCCGTGGAACGGTATAGTTCAGGGTCAAAGTAGCATTCCTGCGATCGGCCATTGCAGTCACAGGCTGTTGACCAAAACGTTAAGTCAGATCCGTGTTTTGAAGACTCAAACCAAACTGTAACTCCCCACATCTCCATGATGGTGGTGGTGGTGGTGGTGGTTTAGATGCTAAGTTGTGTCCAACTCTTGCAACCCTATGGACTGTAGTTCCTCCGTCCATGGGGTTTCTCTGGCAAGAAAACTGGAGTCGGTTGCCATTTCCTCCTCCAGGGGATCTTCGCAACCCAGGACAGAACCCTGGTCTCTTGCATTGCAGGTGGATCCTGTACCTCTGAGCCATGATAGTTGGTAGTAGAATAAGAATGACTATACCAGATACATTTCTCATTTTAAAAAAAATGAAAAAAGTATGTCTATCAATAAAAGGTTTATAGTCAGGTTATCAGCTTACAAGGAAATGTTCATCCTTATAAAAAATGGTACTATCATAGCTTAGCTGGTAAAGAATCCGCCTGCAATGCAGGAGAACCTGGTTCAATTCCTGGGTTGGGAAGATCCCCTGGAGAAGGGATAGGCTACTCACCCCAGGATTCTTGGGCTTCCCTTGTAGCTCAGCTGGTAAAGAATCTACCTGCAATGTGGGAGATCTTGGTTCAATCCCTGGATTGGGAAGATTCCCCTGGAGAAGGGAAAGGCTACCCACTCCAGTATTCTGGTCGCAAAGAGTCAGACACAACAGAGTAACTTTCACTTTAAAATATAACTAATTCCTGTACTTGGAAATCTCCAGATAGTAGTATACATACAAGTAAAAGCCAAGTCAAATTACAATTTTTCTGAGTCTTTATCCTTCATTTTAATACGAAGTCCAAGCACAAGGGATCAGTTCATACACAGGTTTCAGTTTACCTTTTTAGGACTCAGACAACTCAAATACATTAGCCACTAACTTTCAAAATGCCAGATTACTTGCATGCTGAGATTGGGGTGATCTGAACCATATTGGGTACAATATATACCTCTGTAAAAAGAAGCAGGAAATCTAGATGCACTAGAAAGTAAATCCACTAGAAGGGAAATCTAGACCCACTAGATGCCTCTATCTACTGGGAAGCCTTGGTACCAAATGGTTCATCTGTTAAGCAGTTATAGTCCCTACAGGTCACAACCATATTTTAAAAACAAGTATCTACAGTCACTGAAAATCTTTATTATATTTACATTAACATGATTTTTTTCATATTATTGATTCTTCCCCAAGCACAGACAGTACTTTGAACATTAAATAAAAATAAAATTTTATTTGATTTCAGATACAGCAGGAAATTGTTGTTTTTGAATATACGTATTTTTTCTCCTCCCTGCCTTTCCATTAGTTCTTTTATAGTGTTATACTTGAAAACTTTTTAGGAACTTGAATCACTAGCATCAAGAATTAGAGAGTTAAGTAATTTTAAAAGCTCCTATTCCCTTCTTCATAGCTATTTTCTCTTCTCTCAAGCCTCCCTAGATTATTTCACAATCAGCCCAGCTTACAGCACCTAAATGGTCTGGTGCCTGTAGTTTATGAGGCAGAACAACCCCCATGTCTACACTGTCCTAACCCACCACTAAAGCAGACTCTGTGGCTCCCTGATACCAGCTGAGAAAACAGCTGTCATCTTCTCTCCCCTACCCCCAGCACCTGACAATACTGTAGTACTGTCCCCCGCCAGGAACTCCTCTCTCTGAGGGGTCACGGTGCTGAAGGGACTTCCAAGGGAAACAAACCGACTTAGCTCTTCATCAAAGTCTGGTTAGCTGTATTCAGTTCATCTGCCAGTCAGAAGCTGGCAATCACATTACACTCATTTTTCTCATAATGTTCCTTGATAGACTCAAAATATGACATCATTAAGCAGATTACTGTTCAAGCACGTGTATCTTTACTTAGATGTCACATCTTAGGAGAAATCACTTTTCATCAGCCTTTATCATGTAGCTTCTAACACTGGATGTTACAATTCAGTAAAAGACGTAGAGAAATTCAAGGGCTTAGGAATACTAGAGGAGGAGGCTATCACACTTACCTAAAAATCAGGGATTTGCTGAGAAAAGAAAAGATGAATAAGAAAATGTGCTGTATGCAGCTAATGGAAACAGTCCTAAGTCAAGATATGGGTCCCTTTTCAAGGTTTCTGCCAATAATTCCTGCAAGTTCAGAGTGTCTTCCTTCTTATTCCCTTTATTTCCAAGAAGGTACGATAAGGAATATTTATAAGGACAGAGGAAAGTTATAGCTGCTTTAAAAGTGTCTTATTTTTTAAGTCCTTGGCAAATCATGATTACACGGTTTCATGATTTTTCTCCTAAGATTCCTTTCCCTATCTCTTCAGAATAAACCAAGACATTTACGAAGGAATAAACAATGTATAATCTTTTTTCATTTTCTCTCTTCCTAAGAGTACTAGGATCTACTCTTCCTCTCAAAGCCTCTCGCCTCTGCACAAGGGAAGTAGGAAAATTCTCTGTATTTTGCTCTTTAGTGAGATAAGGAAAAAATGATTTTTATATACAATCTTTTGAACGGTAGTATTAGTCTACTACTCATCATACTTGACAAATGTTAATCAACAATCTTGGTTGTCTGAAGAAACAAGAATTGGAAGGAAGAAGACTATTTTAAAGAGCAAAAAAGAAAAGACTAGAAGAACCATGTTTTAGTGTAGGCTATACCGGCCCAGTATTTAGAACTAAGGAAAAGGCCAGACCTTGGAAATGCTACTTCCATTCTGTTAAGTGTGCGCCTGAAGGAAACAGAAAACCTGCGAGTTTATGTTTATGACCAATTCCACGCATCTATGATTTTCCTCTGACATGTATGCAGGTGATATATATATCTCTCTACATGCTCAAATTATGGAAGAAGCACTGCCTTGCAGACTCTTCCTTTCAAGGAAGAATCAAAGGAGGCCACCCACTCCCCCCGCCCCCCAAAGTCCTCAGGACAGCTCAGCAGACAGAAGCCTGACGCACTCACGCTGGCACTCGCTGGCACTCTCGGCGGTCGCCCTCCTCCACGGCCGGTCGTTGAAGAAAGGAAGGCACTTTTCACAGTCCACGCCATAAGTGTTATGTTTGCAATTACACACCAGCTTGTCAAAGTCGTTTTTCACACATTCGCTTGCGTGTCCATTACATTTACACCTGGGGAGAGAAGAGACACTCAAAAGCAGAAACAGCTAGAAAGCGCTGACCTGGACTCAGAGAAAGGGTGTGCACGGAGAATTACAGCAACCTCTGCATGTTTTTGAGTTTACCAAGCAAAACTGTAAATTGAAGAACTGAGCAAGATTAAGTAATGGCTGTGTTTTTAGTTATGAAGAAAAATTCTGACCAAAAAAGGTAGCTTTATTTAATAGGGGCTGGATCATTAACTGGACATAAAAAGAACACCCCGACAATTTCTGAGGACGTCTGTAGGGCCCTTTCCTGAAGTGAAACGTGTGTTTCAAGAAGAAGCCAAGTGTAGTGGTTAAGAAGAACACGGGTGTATACATATGACAGATTCGCTTTGTGTGCAGTGAAACTAACATAACATTGTGAAGCAATTATACTGCAATGGAAAAAAAAAAAAGGACATGGACTCTGAGGCCAGGCTGCCTGTGACTTACAGATGTAGCTCAACCTGTGCCTTACCTGTAAGAGAAGGATGAGAATAATGTCTATTTCATAGAGTTACTGAGGTCAAGAGGTTGCTGTTTTTACATGCCCAGGATTACATGGGCATATAATAAGTCAATAAATGTCAGCAGTTATCTGTCATCAGGATTAAAGCATTCTGATCTGAAGACAGTAAGAGACAGACACGATACCACCATGTGGATCTCTGGTAGACATGCCCTCGGGTTGTTTTGGGTAAGAATCCTTGACGGATCCCTAAGACGAAGGCACTAGAACAGTAAGGACTTGTGGAAATCCCCAAGAGTATCTGCTGCCCTGCATGCCCCTCACTCGCTCTTTAAAGACAGCAGTCAGTTCCACAGCTTCAAGCACCACTTGATAATACACTCAAACACTTCTGAAATATCTATAGTGCACTAGGATGAATCCCAAATTACATCTTCAGCTTGCCTCTTTCTTCCAAGCTCCTGTCCTTGACTGCTACACAAATTAAATGCCCTCCATGACTTAAAGCTTTACCTTTTATAACTGAACTCACCATCTCACCAAATGAGCTCATCTTCTCTGTTTATATTATTATAAATTGGCATCACCATTCTCCTGATCACTAAATCTTCAGATCTTCGACTAAAATCCTGATAATTCTTTCTTCACAAAATGCACCCAAATGTTCCCTTCCACCCTGTTGTCACCACCCCAATGTCAGGCATTTGTCACCTAACACTTAGATGACAGCATAACAGGAATATAAAATTCTCTCAATCATATTCTACTTTCACTGCCTGCAGCTCGTCTTCCTAATCTACTGGTCTGATATCAGAGCCCTACTCCAAGAGAGTACCTGATTTCCCACTGGTTACAGTTTCCATCAGCTTTCTCTGAGCATCAATCCCATACCAGGAATATAGCATACAAAAATCATATTTCTGCTCTGGAGACTTCACAGGCTAATACAGGGAGAGGTAAGCCCAAGATTCTTGGCCCACTGTCTAAGGTCTCTGGCTAGTAAACTCTCTCTGGTTTACAACTCTAAAAATTCATGTAAGATGTTTCTCCTGTCAAGGAGATTTAGATTCTTCCAACTCTAAACTTTGGCTCACATGTCCATCCTCCTGCACCCAACCCAGACATCCTCTCTCCCTATCTAAACCCTGCCTATTCTTCAAGGCCCTGCTTCAATTCCATCTGCTTCTTTCAGCCTGACAGTCCTATAAGCCTGACAGTCCTCTGGCATATGACATCTGTTTATCTAAAGCATATGACTGTCCTAGTATTTAACTTTTCACGCGCTCACATAGCACCTTCCTCATTCATCTGCAGGATCCTTGAAGTCACAGGTCCTTCTCAGAAGGTGAGTGTCAGTCCCATGCTTCCTCAGTAGCTTCATAGTGCCCGTCATAGGGCTTTGCACTTAATTGCTCAATAAGAATTCACTAATGTGTTGACTGGATAAGGTTTTAGAAAACCTACTTTGTTTCCAGGATAATGAGGTCTAACAACATAATGTGGTTGTAAACAAGTGGCTACATACACTCCTACACCAAAGCTTCTATGGCTTTCAAGGTTATCTAATGGCTTACTTACCTACCACCCACAGCAAAATCAGAGATTGCATAATAATAGGATTTGAGAACTTTGGGGTCGTTAAACACTTCATCTCCAAAAGTGTTCAGGCGATTGAGAGTTACTCTGATGTCAGTGGCAGTTACCCATTCCTGTCAGAAAATAAAAACAGAAAAGATGGTAAAGGCACTGACATGTATGTGACAAAATCTTCTGAACAGTTAATGTGTCATTTAACTTATGTCTTCTTCTGGCATTAAATCTATTATACTACTCAAAGACCTCCTTTAATATCCTTACATTTTTCTCCTTGACTCTTCTCTTCTTGGATCTAAGTTGTTGCTTCACCACTCAGAATCCCCCAAGGCAGAAATAATATTAGTTTCTTCACAAGGCTGTAGAAAGGCTTAAATGAAATACCCTTTTCAACACTCAGCATACATTAGGTACTCAATCCACATGTCCTGTCTCTCCATTCTATATCCACAGCCCAAAGCCAGCCCAGAGAAGCCAACAGAGGGTTCACAAAGCGCCACAACCACACTCGATGTGCTGGTCACTGCCTCCTCCTGCCCATCTTGTTTCATCTCTCTTTCCCTTTTACCCCAACCACTACTGACAGAGCTGAGAGACACATCCCAGTGCAAAGCAACCAATCATTACACTGGCCTGAACCGATCAGACATACTCTTTTGTCCTGACCCTTCCCAAATGTCACTTCTTGTGAGGCCTTCCCTGGCAATGCTATCTAGAATTGCCACCACACTACTACCTCCAACTCCCTATTTCCCATCACTATTTTATTAAAATAGCCTGTTTCCATCACCACCACCTGCCCACCCCACCACTGCCACATCAGATTATAAACTCCACAGGGCAGGAATTTTTTTGTTTTTATTCACTGCATTTCACTGCTGGTTAGGATATACTTGGTTCTCAGATTAACATTCACCAAGGAGAAGACCCCTGAAAGTCCTTTAGACAGCAAGGAGATCAAACCAGTCAATCCTAAAGGAAACCAACCCTGAATATTCATTGGAAGGACTGATGCTAAAGCTGAAGCTCTAATCTTTTGGCCACCTGATGCAAAGAACTGACTCACTGGAAAAGACCCCAATGCTTGCAAACATTGAGGGCAGGAAGAGAAGGGGATGGCAAGGGATGAGATGGTTGGATGGCATCACTGACTCAATGGACTTGAGTGTGAGCAAACTCAAGGAGATACTGAAGGACAGGGAAGCCTGGCGTGCTGCAGTTCATGGGAAGGCAAAGAGTTGGACATAACCTAGCCACTGAACAACAAGCAAATGGGCAGACTGGCAGAAACTACAACTGATCAAGATGGCAGATATATCATAATGGCAGAGGACAAGAAGGAAGGTTATACAGTTTTCCCCTAAGTTTTATGAGATCTGAATGCTTATAATAAATGCCCTTCCACTGAGCTAATTTTAGGCAGATGTTTACATCTGGGGTAATTCTAACAATGATCCTGAGGAATCATGTCTGCCAGTGTCCAAGCCCTGTGTATTCCCTTTTCACACTGATTCTAGGTGGGCAAATGACTTGCTTTGGCCAAAAAAACATCAGTGAATGTGACACAAGCAGAAGATTGATATATATATGTGTGCACTGGGACTTACCCTCTTGAATACTTTCACCATCACATGAAGAAGCCTAGTCCAGCCTCCTTGAGGAGATAAGATGACAGGGAGAAGATAAACCCAGCTCCCATCCCAGCTGACTGGCCAGGGAGTGACCTCAGGCCAACAGAGAATCATGAGAAACAAGAAATCATGGCTGTTTAAAACCATTAAGTTTTAGAGTGGTATATTATATATAATGACCCAAAGATGCCACGTCCACTTTCAGTTCTCTCCTGGGACTGCATCTCGGCATCACCAACGGAGACGCAACAAGCCAAGTGCAGAGCTGAAGGCATCTGTTTTCAGAAGGCTTCACGTCAGACAGGGAGGCACACCCCTGATTAAGAATCACTGCTTACACCAAGCCAAACACCTGGCAGACAGAACAACACAGAGAGCTCATCAAGGCTAAGCTCCGTGAAGCCTCCATGTATAATTAGAAAGGAGAAGAGATGGTGATTTCACCATATCCAAACTTGGAACTCCAATAACAACTCCCACTCACGGTCACAATGTCAGGAATCTTTCAGTCGTCTGCAGTGTAAATAGCTGAACAGATCTCTGTGTTCAGCGCTTGTATCTTTGACAGGCTTCAACTTTATTACAACTTTTCTTGAATAAAAACTTCTCAAGAGCTGAATCTGCAACTTTTTCTTTCACAATGGGCATCTTAAAGAAAACAGACTCTAGAACTAGACTTTCTAGGTTTTGAGTCCCAGTTTAGTGGCTAAAAACAGTGTAATTTGGGGCAAGTGATTTTATCTTTTCTGGGCCTCTGATTCCTCATCTGTAAAATGGAGATAATAAAAGTGTCTACCTTATAGAGTTATTGGGAGAGTTAAATGTGTTAACATATTTAATGTACCTAAAGGGCTTAGAACAACGCTTGGCACACTATAGCACGCTATAGTAAGTGCTATAATAAATGCTAATTATTATTATAAATCACTACATGCTCAGCAATATTCAACACTGAAACCAAGAAGGTTTCTGAGAGATCATAATTTTTATAGGGAGGCGCAAGGAGCAATGAGGGCAGGAGCCAACTGCCTCTGTCCTCACTGTCAGATCGGCTACCAGTCAAATCAGTTACCATTCCTTGGTAGCTGAATATCAGAGTCAGAGCTCTTACATCCAGAAACACATAACTGATGCTTCTGCATAATGATACCAACTGACCAAATCTATTGCGAATGCCCACAGCCTTTTGTCACATTTAGGCTTATGAGTTTCTGAGGCGTGAAGAATAAGAAATATCAGAACTCCTATAGCTGTGGAACTGATGTAAGACAAGGCATACAGTTAGCAAAGGGGCCAGAAAACCACAGTCACATTACCTCACTGCTTTTTCCTACTGACTACATGGTCCCTCTCCAGGACAGTAAAATATAATAACTTGTGTAGAAAGAATCAAAGCCAGGAAACTTAGACTTGTGGACACAGCAGGGGAAAGAGGGTGGGATGAACTGAGCGAGTGGCTCTGACATACTTATCGGCCAGGTATAACGCAGACAGTGAGTGGGAAGCCGCCTCCTAACACAGGGAGCTCAGCCCGGTGCTCCGTGACGACCTAGAGGGGTGGGATGGGGGGAGGAGAGGGAGGCTCGAGAGGAGGAGGGTGTATGTGTACTTACAGCTAATTCACGCTGTGGTGCAGCAGAAACCCACACAACTTCCAATTAAAAAGCAATTATCCTCCAATTAAAAATAAATTAAAAAAAATTTTTTTAAAGAGTATTTGTAGATCACTTCTCCCCTAGGTAATCTGTCTCCTGTTTATTCATCTACCAGAGCTGGTTATTCTTTCTGCCATTTATTTTGAATACATCCTACGGCCATTGAAAGAAATTTTCTGAAAGGCCTTTGCAAACATACTCACTGCTCACCAAAATTCTCAGAGTTTATCAAATCAAGATTTATGATCCCCCAGCAAGCAATAGAAGTACAATGGGAGGGAGGAACTGGACTCAGAATATAATCTCATCTTTTGCCACTGTCCAAAGTTACACAGCCAAGTTAGACAAAGAGTCCTTGAACATAAGAATTTCCAAAGAGAGAGAATGAGAGGCTACAAAGGCCTAATGCCCAGAAAAACACGGGCATTCCCTTCTTAGAAGTTACAATAGCTCTTCATAAAGTATATGTAACACCTGCAAACCCACATCCAGTCACAGCAAATATGGGCTGCCCCCATTTAAATGTTAGCTTCAGCCACGTGACTGAAGCAACTCTGATCGGTGTGAATGTGCTGAGGGTGGCAGGACACTCACCCACCTCTCCAAAATCAACAGCCAGGATATAAGAAAAAGTCACAGACATCTAAGCAATACAGAAATTTTCCAAATTGTAGTGCATAAGGAACACGCACACCGAATTTATGAAAAAAGAAATCTCTGGATCGATTGCCACATAGGGACAAGTTTCTATCTCCATCCTTAAGCACTACACCAGGGTAGCTAAATTCACATCTCGACATAAAAACCAGTGCCTTCAGGTGATGAAGAGTTTTCATAATGATTGGCAACAGTGCCAGACAACCAAAATTTCCTTGAACAATAATAAAGGGGGCTTCCCTGGTGGCTCAGTGACAAAGAATCCACCTGCCAACACAGGAGACATGGGTTTGATTCCTCATCCCGGAAGATCCTGCATGCCAGGAAGCAACTAAACCCACACACCACAGCTACTGAACTTGTGCTCCAGAGCCTGGGAACCGCAACTGCTGAAGCCCGCACGCCCTACAGAGCCCATGCCCAGGAACAAGAGAAGCCACTGCAGTGAGAAGCCTGCACGCCACAAGGGAGAGTGGCCCCACTCACCACAACCAGAGAAGAGCCCACGCAGCAACAAAGACCCAGCACACACAAAAATGAATTAAAATAATTTTTTAAATAGCAAAGGAAGGTAGAGTTCTTAAACATCTTGTTTCAGTTGTTCCCTCTTGTCAACATTAAAAGATAGTTTTTTAAAAATTTTATCAAATCAAAGAGGTAAGACAGGATACAAAAAAAAACAAACCAGCAGATTCATTCAAATACCCTCCTTCAAAAGGAAGGTAGAGAAGCAAAATATTTCCACTGCAAGTACAGAGACGTAAGTTAAAACTGCTCAGCATTTTAAAATATCTGTAGTTTACATCCTAGGATACATGTGCATGCAAACACAAGAACAAACATCAACGGGACAGCAGGAACAAAACTACTTTCCTTCACTTATTAAGAGTACACAGGAGAGCAGAATAAAATCCAGCTGTCTGTCCTGACCCTTACTCCAAAAGCGGGCCCTCGGGCCGCCACTATGATGATCTTTCCGCACCCTGGCATGTGGAAACAGTCAGCGGCTACCAGGCCGAGCTCCGGGTGCCTACCTGCAGCACAGGGCTATTGTCAAAGTTGTAGGCACTGGGCCTTCCTTCCAGGGTTGAAAAGGCCACGTTGCCCCCAGTGAGAGGGGAAATGTCGCTGAACTCATCTGTGCACAAGGCCTGCTGCTCGTCGCCTCCCGTCCGGATGAAGCCGCGGTTGGCCTTCGCGTAGGTGTTCTCGCAGGAGCCGCTGTAGTACTGGTAAGGGATCCAGGGCCCGTCTTCCCGCGTGCGCTTGTAAATGGCGAAGCTCTCCGGGCGGCTGGTGTGGAACTTGAGGCGCACGTATGTGATGTCAAATGCTTTTCCTGTTGGGGCGAACATGCGGATGTTTGTAAGTCATGTGGATGAAGCAAAGAACCCTCCTCTATTCCCACTCTGCTTTGGAACTCGACAAAAAAAGAGGATACAAACCACCCTGCACACACTAGACTAAGAGGGTTCCAGAACACACTACATGTTGGCTGTGCCCGACAGGCTATTCTCAGCCTGGAAACAGTGCATGTTTTCCCACAGACATACGTTATAGCTGGGCTCAGAAGCTGGCTCATAAAAGCCTATGATGTGTGCTGTTGAAATTTTGCTTCCCATGAAAAATGACAGTATATATTATGTACTTATACTGCGAAATGAAAGTAAAATTAAGTGAAAAAGTGCATTTTATCCTCAATGCTGTTGCTTCTACAAAAGCTTAATTAAAAGACAGAAAGAAAAATATTTGCTAGCTTTCTTCTGGGCACTTCCAAGATTTTAAAAAACTCATGCTTTATTCATTTTAATTTCTCTCCTTGATGCAAGAAGAGTATCATCAGGACTAATCTTTCTTTCTTTACCCGACTCTGGAAGAGAAATTTGAGAGATAAGGTCAGGAGTTGAGTAGGAATGAAGAAAAGAAATTCCTCCAGTAGCTGAACAAAGACAAAAACAGACAGAAAGAGGCAGAGAAGAGAAAGGCAGTTTTAAAAAGCTGTATTCAGAAGAGAATATATGGGACATGAGTGCCGAGCAGGGAACAACAGCCAGGAGCAGGAGCCAACGGGCTGTCATCCCTCTGGGAGCCCGGTCATTGGGTCTGGCAGCACCATGCAGCATCTGGACCAGAACATGGTCTGAGAGCTGGGGCAGCGTGGGTGCTGGCCAGCAGGACTTCAGGTGGGCAGGAAAGGTACTGTGCAGTATGGCAGAAACCGCCGCAATAATGTAATCAGTCTCCAATTAAAATAATTGTAAAAAAAGAAAAGATAACGTGTGACTGGTTTCAAATGCCATTCATTCACAAATGGGTCTTCCCATCAGTTTCTGTCAAGAAGGGTTTTTGTAAAAAAAGAAAAGATAACGTGTGACTGGTTTCAAACGCCATTCATTCACAAATGGGTCTTCCCATCAGTTTCTGTCAAGAAGGGTTTCTTAGGCACAACTACCTGCTCAGACCCATGTGTATACTTAGGGGGACAAGATGTGTCAGACACAGGGGGTCTCCTCTGTGAATCAGAATCAACTTCACAGGAAGAACCCTCCTCCAGAGCCCACAGCGGACGAGGTCCTGCACTGTCACAAGTGTTGAGGAGAGACTTCTATCATGGTCTCACTTCCTCACACCCACTCACCCCTGGGGAGGCGTGATGCTCGTGTGTGGCTTGGAACCTCCTCAACTCTCTCCTCTCCCTCACTCCTCAGAGCACCCCTCCTCTGCCAGGTGGGGGAGGCCTGCTGACACCCTGCAATTCCATCCAGGACTGAGTGGGTGAGTGCAACCTCAGTGGGGAAGTGTAGGCTGCACGTCCAGGCTCTCTTCTTCAAGTCAGTTTTATCCAGGATAAAACTGATCAGATGACCCAAATATGACTCTATGGTCCAGATCTTAAAAGAGGGGTTTAACTGTACCCATATACACGAAACACATTCATGCACATAAGATCTTGAACATAAAGAGGTATTATGCATGACAGAAAAAACACAGGACCAGGCACTGCAACACCTGAGCACAAGATCCTGACTCCTCAATTACTAGCTGTGGGATCTCTAGTACATCTCCATCACTTTCTCCTCTGTAGAAATGAGGATGATACAGACATAGGGAACAAATTTGTGGTTGCCAAGGGGGAGGTGGGGGTTGGGGAGGGAAACATTTGGAGTTTTAGATTAGTAAATGCAAACTATTACATATAAAATGGATAAGTAACAAGGTCCTACTTATAGCACAGGGAACTATATTCAATATCCTGTGAGAAACCATAATGGAAAAGAATATAAAAAAGAAAACATATATATAACTGAATCACCACGCTGTATAGCAGAAATTAATATAATATTGTAAATCAACTATATATCAATAAATTTTTTTCAAAAATAAAAAAAATGAGAGTGATGATTCCTGAGCCACCTATCTCAAAGAGTTGTTGGAAGGTCAAACTAAGATTCTGCCTATTTGCATATACTTGATTAGTTATAAAATTGTACAGAGTTTGTATAATATATATATCCTGAATTTTATAGTCATAAAATTGTATATATATGTTTATATATATAATTGTATATATAATCATGAAATTGTAGCTTAAAAACAATTGTCTCTTCAATCTAGTCTGAGATGTAAACGCTAAGAATTTCAGGTTTTTGGCAGCATTACGCTGGTTGAACACTAGGCCTGCTGGCTCATTTCTCAGTACCATTATCAGAGGTGGCTCAGTGGTAATGAATCTGCCTGCCAAGCATGAGACCTGGGTTTGATCCCTGGGTCTGGAAGGTCCTCTGGAGAGGGAAATGGCAACCACTCCAGTATTCTTGCCATGGAAAATCCCATGGAGCCTGGTGGGCTAGAATCCATGGGGTCACGAAGAGTTGGACATGACTTAGCAGCTAAACAGCAGAAGCATGCAAATAGAAAGCATTACTGTAAGAGAGTACAGAAGAGAATTCCTGAACTAGGATCCTGGAAATGTTCACACACAAGAGCTTGACTGCACAAGGGCCTACCTGATACAGTTACCAAAGAATATAACACAAACCTGGACCTTCTGCCTAGGAAGCAGTACAACACTTTGGACACAGGTCATGCAAATACAGCTTACAACACTCCTGTTAAAAAACATGCAGATTGAACCTGTATCTCTTTGCTGTGTCAAAAATGTAAAGAAGTCACCTGTGAATGAGGGTGAGGTTATAATACAGTATCAATGGCATTCCAGAGACTATCTAAAACATTCTGGAATGGTAAAACAATTTAGTTACTCATGAGTACGTGGCTTGGGATGTTCAAAGGCTTACTCACTAATCTTTGGATTACAGATTACCCTTGTTTTTCTATTCTGTCTACATTTCTGCCATTTCATTGTTCTTTAGCAACCCAATCTGCAGGAGGATGGATCAAAAGAGAGAAGGTAAAATGGATCTGGGTATCGAGTGTCCCAGACAAACACCTGCACCACCAAGCCACAGGATGAAAGAAACAGGAATATGGGGTCACTCAGAGTCGGCACAGGACATCAGAGAAGCAGCTCTGCCAGCACTAAGCTCTGCAGCAGCCTAGCTTGCTGGCACTGGCCCTGTCTAGCTATGCCTCGTTTTCAGAGCTGCTTTCTTCATTCTAACTTTTAGCTACGGTTGAAAGAGGTGGCAGTCTGTGGCTATCTGGAAAGGAGGCTCCCACATTTCACACTACAAGACGGACACATGCAGGACCTTCGGTGTTGCAGCCAACCCAGCCGTGGATGCCGACCACTGCAATTCCATGTAATGAATGCTATGACGGAGAAGGACATGAGGTTTGGGGAGCCTGGAGGAAAGTCACCTCACCCACATTTGTGAGGTCAAGAAACATTTTCGAGAGGCAGTGACATCTAAACCCAAGACCTGAGAAATGCAGAGGGATTAGCTAGGCCAGTAGAGACCAGTCGTCCAGGCAGATGAACAGGAGGTATGAAAGACCAGAGGACACAGAGGGCTGGAGGACAGCTAGGACTGGGGAGGGTGGCTGGAGACAAGGGAGCTAGCAAGCATGGCGTGCTGGGCCTGAGGCCATGCTGAAGAGCAACTTCAACTCCCACTGACAAGCCAACTGAGGGATATATGTCAAGACATGGATGATCAGGTTTGATTTTTAGAGAGACCATTCTGGCCACTAAGTGGAAATCAGGTTAGATGGGACAGGGCTAAATGTGGGAAGAACAGTTAGAAAGATGTGGCAGTAATCCTGGCTAACAGTGGCTGAACTCGATACAGGGACAGCTGGAACAGAGAGGAATGAACGGACTTGAGTTACATGCAGTTGTGTGTGTGCATGCTCAGTCTCTCAGACATGTAGTTAGCAGACCTCAGTATGAATAATAATTTGGTAACTAATGGGGGGAAGCAGAAGACATTTCCGATAGCCTTCTCTACATCTACCCTATTGACATTGCTGAAGTTTCATTGCTGAAGTTCCTTCTACATGTTCCATAAGGTGGTGGGATTAAGAATAACATTCGGTTTTCTAGTTTAAAAACACCCAAATGGAGAGACATACCATACCATTCACTGAAACATACAACGAAGGAGGCTAAGCAAAACTGGAGGCAGGAGTGGAGGGCACGATCAGGAGGCGCGTTCGATCTTGGATACACAAGATTTACGGTGTTTATGGTCACTGAGCGGAGAAGGCAATGGCACCTCACTCCAGTACTCTTGCCTGGAAAATCCCATGGACAGAGGAGTCTGAGAGGCTGCGGTCCATGGGGTCGCTGAGTCGGACCCAACTAAGTGAACTCACTTTCACTTCTTACTTTCATGCACTGGAGAAGGAAATGGCAACCCACTCCAGTATTCTTGCCTGGAGAATCCCAGGGGCGGGGGAGCCTGGTGGGTTGCCGTCTATGGGGTCACACAGAGTTGGACACAACTGAAGTGACTTAGCAGTAGCGGCATGGTCACTGAGACAAGAAAAAAAAAAATCTGGTAGGGAGTTGAATGTGAATGATCTGAAGCCCAAGAGAGACATCTAAGCCGAGATACAGATTTGGGATTCAAGGACTTCCCTGGTGGTTCAGCAGGTAAGAATGCACGCTTCCAACGCAGGGGGCGCGGGTTCAATCCCTGGTCGGGAAACAGATCCCACATGCCCCACAGTGTGGCCAAAAAAAATTTTTTTTTAGTTTTTTCCAAAGTTAAAAGAAGATCTAGGACTCATTAGTGTGCAGTTGGATAATGAAGACATGGCCATGGTTGCAACCAAAGAGGACAGGAGTGTTGAGTGAGAAGACAGCTGACTTTTGGGATCATGCTGAAGGGCATCAACATTTAAAGCACAGCCAGAAGAAAAAGTGACAGAGGG